GAAAAGGTCAGCAGTTGGCCTATGGGGGGGAACTTAGATAAAACTAATATGTTTCCTGCCTCAGACTATAGGAACCATTATGTATGGTAGGGCTATGACAGAACGTCATGCAACAGGAGGGCTTCCAAACTGTGCTGGCACTATAGAGTGATTAGTTATGACACTCAGGTCAGTAAGAAATCATGACTACAACTGTCTTCCACTAACAAGGAAGATCATGAGCAGTGAATACTGAGAATGATATTTCGACAGACTGTGTGTATGTCGTGTATAATACACTTCAAATATTATATTTTCTGAACCTCAATACTTGTAAGGTAAATATTCATAAAACAAATTATCTAGGAAACGCCGTTTTATCAATAGTAATATATGATCAATAACGCTTCAAAATGTGTCTGCCTTAGTTAGGAGTAATTCGAACTAAACAATTTATATGCAGTAACAAGCACGAAGACCACAATGGGATCATAGAGGTAGTGAGTGTCAGAGAGTGGCTTGTGTGTCAGAGAGTGGCTTGTGTGTCAGAGAGTGGCTTGTGTGTGGTGTATCAGCCACAGGTCGTCACATTGTTGCTGGTGTTGATCAACAGTAAGGCCACCAGGCTGCTGACACTCCTCACTCCCCAACCTGCTTTTACTTTAGTTTAGTTTTGTTATTTTACACAGGTAGATGCAGTAGATGACTTATGACTTCTGTTAGCAGGCTTTAAGCTTTCCTTTCCCTTACACATTCTAGTAGTGGAAGCCATGGTAAGCCTTACATTACTAGTTTTTTTCTGAAACACTACCAGCCAATTGATTTACAACTAGATTTCCTACTACTGTTGGGTGAAAAGGGATAAACAGTTAAGGACTGGTCAAGACTCGAACCCAGGCGAAATCGCCGGCGAAACGGGTTAAGTGATAATGTTAATAACGATTAACGTAATGCATCTCTTAGTGTCAAGCCATGATAAAATTGTGAAATGAACTTTGGAGTTAATTTGTCAACTTTCTTATCGAGTGGAGAAAAACGTGTATCAATGTGTAGATAAATGATAAATGTGTATCAATGATCCTACTCAAATCACTCTTTAACTGATCAATCAAAAATGGATCTAAATTATACAAACCACTGCTAATGTTCAAATTACATGATTTTGTAATCTGTATTAAAGCCGATTCAATAATGTTCCTATTGAAAATGTTTTTAAGTTTCGTTATTGAAGAAGCCATCTCCCAATCAATTTGATGAGAACTTTCTGACAAATGAACTAACATTAGATAATTGGCCGTATCTTACAGAATATTTATGTTGAGAAATTTATGGATGTTTGCCCTACATAGAACCTATTACAGTCTTTACAAGGTATTTTGTAAATGACAGTTATCACTACGAGAGCTGTTTCTATCTAACTAAAAGTATGTTCTATGTGAAGCAGTTCTAGGCTCCAACTATCCAGGTGAATAAAATATATTTAATTCCTACATTATGGTGTAATCTTACTTAATAAAATACATATTTGTCTTACCTTTAGTAGCAGATCTGCTTGCTTTTGTGTTCATAATATCACCATTCACTTTCACAATGCTGACGAGTCAGGTCCTAATATGCTTTCCATATAAGAACGAAAGGATATAGTGTATAACATATATCTTAGGAAAGTAAATTCCTGCACTTTATAACACCAAGTAGGATGTTATAGTCTCTATATCTCCCGTTCATCTGGTCCTATTTTAATATAAAGTTCAACCAAGCTTTACTAGAGTGTTGAACACGTGGTATTAGTGTTCCAGCGTGACATAATGGTGACCATTAGCGCTAGAAACATTAATAAGAGAGGTCACGCACGCCCCGTCACACTCATTACAACACACTAACAAAACATGGCGAGGTAAACAAAAATCAGCTGACTGTGTGACGTCATTTCAATAGGTAAATGATATGGATTTTCAAATATTTTAGATTGGACATTGATCTATATATTGTAATTATCTGTAGGAGCTGCATTTTATGTACTGGGATTTACCCATGTAATTTTTTTGCCCGAAACGCTATGCTTACTATAGGCTTTAGGTATTGTATGTATTAGCTCTATCTATAAATCCAACATTATGTTTGTAACTCTTCATCTATATATGTACTTTTAACTGAATAAAAAAAATGAATTTGAATATACTGAATTAGGTCATGTGCTGAATTAGGTCATGTGCTGAATTAGGTCATGTGCTGAATCCGAGGCGGCTTGATGTATGTTCACGGGATTTACTAAATAGTAATATAAATATAATATAAATATGTAATATAAATGGATGATGCCAGCACATCAGTTGAATCTTTCGTGAGTTATCAAAACCTTCCGCAAAGTCCATGTATATACTGCATTACTGGAAGTCCCCTTGTCTGAGAGCCAATGGAGAGTACAGACCTGTGTCCTTAACATCGTGTTTTTGTAAAATGATGGAGAGGATAATTTTAAATAGACTTTTATATATAATAGGTGATCAGCTGTCTAGTAATTTGTTCGGGTTCTTCAGAGGAAAAAGTACCTCTGACTCTTTTATTAAATGTCTAGCTAATGATAATGATTATTATAGAATTTTTATTGATTTACAAGGAGCTTTTGATAAAGCCAACAAAGAGGTTATTTTATATGAACTAGCTGGTCTTGGTATTAAAGGGAGATTATTGCGCTGGATAGGGGATTATCTTTAGGAAAGGAAGGCTCAGGTGTGGTATCAAGGTTGTATGTCAGATGTGAGAACTTTTGAACTCGGCACACCTCAGGGAGGAGCGTTGAGTCCCACCCTGTTTAATGTACTAATGAATAAGATAGCATCTGAGAGATACTCAAATGGGGTAACTCTCATCATATATGCCGATGATATTTTGTTTTAGAGCAAAGATATTTCAAAGGTTCTAACGGTGTTGGATAATTTCGGTAACCTATTTCTATATTTCCCACTATATGGGACTGGTGGTTAATGAAGACAAAACTAAGTTTGAATGTAGAAGTCGGAGCTCCATTGTTTTGAAAATAAACGATAAAAATATAGAGAGAGTTAATATATATAAATATTTAGGCATATATGTTGGATATACCCATGAGAGTTTGGAAGCTGAGATGAACAGACTGTTGGGTCAATGTCGAAAGAGATTACAACCTCTGAAGGCTTTGGCATGCTGTGGAAAGGGAGTGGGAGTCCCTGTGCTACGAATGTTATACTTGAGTACTGTAATATCTCTTATTGATTATGCTGCACCTGTCATTTCTTGTTTTGGTAAAGGTAGGATGGGCAAGTTGGAGAAGGTACAAAATGAAGCAATGAGAATTATCTTAGGATGCCCAAGAAATGCTATGATTGAGATAATGAGGATGGAGTTGAATCTGCAGAGTATTGGGGATAGAATTTCAGAGATAAATGTAGCCTCTGCCATTAGATTAATGAGAGGTGGGGGAGCTAATGAATTAATCCTCTCGGTTCAAAAGATGGGAAGTAGTGAACAGTGTATGATGAAGAAGAGAGTATATATGAATAAATTATGTTATAATGTTATAAAGTATGATGTTATTACAGAGTGTGTTGCTGTGCCCAAGAGAAAATTTACACCACCATGGGAGGATTGTAATGTAGATGTAGTAATTACACCCTTGCATAAGAAAAAAAGTATGTATGAAATAGGAGAGCTGAGGGCAATATATGATTGTATAATTAGACAACTGCCTTCGGAAAACACTCTACATGTATATTGTGATGGGTCAGTAGCTAGGGATGGGAAGGCAGGATGTGGAGTCTTGATCAGGGAGTACACTGACATCGGCACTGTAGATACTGTTATTGGACGCCGCTTAACTGACAATGTCTCTTCAACGCAGGCTGAACTCCAAGGAGTATTAGCAGGATTACAGGAAGTAGTCAAATGTGGTAAAAATGCTTGCTTCTTTATTGACAGCAGAGGAGCGTTAGAGTCTTTAAATAGCAGACGCCCAGTATATCAGAATATTGTGATAGAGTGTAGAGAGAATGTTAAGAGACTAGAAAAAACTGGGTATAAAGTAAGATTCATGTGGATCCCTTCACATGTGGGAATACTGTTGAATGAGGTAGTTGATGACATAGCGAAGAGAGCCACTGAAAAAACTCTTGTTGATGTTGTATGTCAGTTAACCTTGAAACAAATAAAAACAAGACTCAAGGTGATTCAGGAGGGTGAAGAAATGATAAAGAGAATGGCAATGGTGGACAGTAGTAACACACTTAAGAATTATTCAATAATAAATACAAATTCGTCCTTCACTTATGGTAAAGGAAAGTCTACTTGGAAGGATTCAATTTACATGAGATTACGACTAGGATATAAATATACTTGGCAATACGGTGTTGATGTCAGTGAAAAAGATAAGGAGTGTAAATTATGTAGTATGCCGCACGCCCACACCTTAGAACATTATGTATTAGAGTGTCACCTTATTGAAAAATATAGAAATAAGGAAATAAATAGTGTACCACATCAAATTGTTTGGATGTGTGATAATGGTATAATAGACAGTATACTTAGGAGCTACAAGAATTTTGCCCCAAGAATGTAACAATTATATGCTGTACTTGCTGTATGCAATGTTAAATGGGTTTCTTGTACTGTTATATGTCTATTTGTACTCACTGAATTTGTGCGCCCCTTGAGGGACTTGAAGTAGAGGGGGGTAGAAATAGCCTAAGCTACTCTATCCCTTTGAGATGTATTTATTGCTTATCTCAATAAACATACTTGAACTTGAACTTGAGATGTATTTCTTCCTTGTCTCAATAAACATACTTGAACCTTGTCTGAATTGCAGGTAATTATAGTTTTGAAAAATGTTTGTATTTTTCTTAAATTATTATTATTATTATCATCATCATCATCACCATCGTCATTGTAATTATTATTATTAGTAGTATTATCGTCATTATCATCACCATCTTTATCATTGTTTATTATTATTATGATGGATGGGTGTGTAAGCGCCCAGATGCTGCGTGTGAGGGTTTAGTGGTGTAAGCGTTCGCGGTAACTCTGGCAGACCATCTCTCGCACCATGGCTCCCATAACCCACTGAAACTATACATATAAATAGTCAAACTATTTACCAGTGACACAACGACTTGCAACGACCTTGTTTAATTGTTTCGTCAATGGTGCTTGTTATTTCCCAGGTAGGTCGGGGTTGACATTGCTTATAGCGGGCAATGTGCTCCTTACGGTCGTCTCGTAGTTACGAAGTGTTCCTTGTCACATATTTCGTCGAATTATAGGGTAGTTAGTGCGTTTTATGGATGTTAATTGGCTTGTAAGGGTGTCTGGTACTTGCAAATGACACGTGTGATAGGCTGTGTTCTTCGTTCTAAATTTACTTGGAAGTAAAGTATTTTATAGATTACCTGTATTTACCTGTGACTGGTTCTGGGTGTTATACTTTCCATAATATAAAAGTTTCTTATGGTTTTACAGAATTTATTAAATGACATAGACAGCATCAGTCGTGTCAACCATAAGGTGAAATAGCTTGAGCCATAACAGATTATACACTTGATAAAAATTAGATTAAGTCATTGGGCAGAAAATAAAAAAAAATAAAAATAAAAATCTGAATGAATAAACTGTACTGGACCTTATATTGAGGTGGTTCTTTGGATGAAGGTCCGTATGACCAACCTTCCTGGTTGGTGGTCTGGTCAACCATACTCTTCGATGCCGCTGCTTGCATCCTGATGTACGAATTACAACCCTATTGATCAGTTATTCATTGGAGGTTATTATCAAGTTCCTTTTTAGCTTTGATAATATTGTGATATAGATTAAATAATTAGGGAAGCTACAGCAAACACAGTTTTTGATTAGGGAGAATCAATTTTAATATATTAAGTGAAAAATATTTCCATATTTTTATCACGGTTTGAGTTTCAAATGTTAGTTTCTTAATTCATATTGATATCAACATCCATTGTAGGAGTTTAAAACATTTTTATAAGTAAAGGTAATGCAATATCCAGTCAATATTTTCTTATTACTTATTTATATTCCCTTAACAAAAAAGCAATTTTTTGCTTTTCATTACACTCTATGTAAGTGTAATGATGTACATTATATTGTTGGGTTCTTTTCAGATTCATTTTCAAAGATGCCAGGCAAAGTTAAAGTTCGTGTTGTGGCAGGTCGGAATTTGCCTGTAATGGACCGGTCTTCAGATACTACAGATGCATATGTTGAGGTGAAACTTGGTACAATCACCTACAAAACTGAGGTTTACAGAAAAAGTCTTAACCCACAGTGGAACTCAGAATGGTTTAGATTTGAGGTAAGCTCATTAGATGTTGTTTGACATTATAATTTTTTTATCAGGAATTATTGCTTCAAGATATATATAGATATATAAACCATACAGTGTTACATAATTATAATATTAATTTAATTTGACAAATAACTAATTTCATGTGAGATGCCAGAGATTGTTATAAGCAAGTACGGTAATTAACGTTCATTGCCAATTTTTGCAACACTAGTGGGTTTTGTTGAGATCCACGAGAGAAAGAATATACTGTATGTAACTAATTCCAGGAATTTTCTCTTAGGTTGATGACCAAGAGCTCCAGGATGAGCCACTACAAATTCGTATCATGGACCATGACACATATTCAGCTAATGATGCCATTGGGAAAGTCTATGTAGACTTAAACCCACTCTTGTTACCTCCACCCACTCCTCTGCATTCTCAGCGCCCACATGACCCCTCGCAACCAGGTTTTTTTCTAAAGCTCTTGAAATGTTCTAATAATTTTTTGTTTGTTTTTTACTAGTGCAGTAGTTTAAGTTTTTGCTTTGAAAAAATATGTAGATGAGTAATAAAAAACAGATTTATAATTTATAGTTTAATCTTTAGTTATTGAAAACATATAGTAAAGGTAGGTCATAGAAAACAAATATATCATAGAATAAATTAGCCAGTTGGTCAGCACAGGTCTGCCACTCTTGGCTATATATAACTGTTGCCAAAATTGTGGTACAGTATAAGAAATATAAAACTGAAGAAATATAAAATTAAAAGAAATTCAAATAGTATTTATTACATTTAGTAATTCAAATTTGGCAGATACCTAAAAAGGAAGAAATTTATGAAATATGAAATGTTAATGAAAAATTCTATAGGATTCTTTCAGATATATTAAATAAAGATTATGGTGAAAACTGGGCCATTTAAAAATGAGATGCATAAAGTAGCTAATACATGGTAATGACAAAGAAATGAATGGTTTTCTAAATTAAACATATATATATTAATCTGTAAACTGCTCCCGTCACCCTCGAGTAATAGTGCATTGGTGTGCCAATTGCCTGTTGGAAAACAGATGTGGCCGTAATATTCAAAAGACCTACCAATTCAATGTGAGATGTCTTTCGACACTAACAGACTTCTGGGAATTGGTTGCCATATTAAAAAAAAAGTCTGAAAGCCTTTGTTTCCTTCCTGGGCCTTAAAAAAAAGATGGGCATTACCATCTATTGACTGATGACCATAATAGGGACAATTGATGCCATGCAAAATTGCAAGAACTTTCATGGACAAGGAGGATGTTGGTGATCAGGAATCTATTACAAATGGTTATCTTGAAAATTATCCTTCAATATATAATATCATTTCTTCCTCGTTACTGCCAAACTAAAGTGAGTAGAATTTTTCTTTCCTGATATTGGTAAGCATTGTTTTATGATGTAAAAAGAAAAGAATTACATGAAATTTTGTAATGCAAAGGAAGAAATTGGCTTAAAATCGTAATACGGAACTCCCGAAACTTCAGGTCCCTGTAATTTTTGGTTTAACAAATTTCTGCTTGTTAAGCAGCTCTGATAGCCTAATAGCCAGAGTTGCCTCACAAGTTGAATTTTCTTTTATATTTAATATGTCAAATATTTACCTTATGAAATAATAATTAGCTGTTATGCAAAAACAGGCCTTGCTTACTAGACCAAGTAGCGTGGGTTTGGTTATAAGGTACAAATATATATACAGTATGCACAGTATATTATGTGTATGTATTACACATACCATATCTATAATATAATATTTTACTCTTCAGGAACAGCGGTTATGTCTGGTTGGTTGCCTGTTTATGACACTATGCACGGTGTTCGTGGCGAGGTCAACATGATTGTCAAAGTCGATCTTTTCTCTGACTTTAATAAATTTCGTCAATCATCGTGCGGAGTCCAGTTCTTCTTTAGTAAGTTTTCTTATGAGTTTATTTGTAGTAATTTTGCACAGCGGTGGCTCGTGGAAAAATAGAATGGATGGACTGCATCACTGCAAGCTTCACACAACATTATATATTCTTTGCCCCTACTTGTATTTCTCTGTAGAATGTATAAAACTGGGGTATGTCTTCCTTTCGCTTATATTGCTATCTTTTTATTTAATGTCGACTTCAAAAAGTTGACACTTTGTAAATACTTTACTTAGTTTACTCCATTTTCTATTGTCATTGTTTGTTAAAGGGTAATTAACTATAAAAGTCTTCAAAGCAACTTAGGCACCACTTGCAACACTTGACACAACTCTCACTCAATGTAAACACAAAATACGGGTCTGATGGAGTGACTGGACCGCTTTGAATGCAGATTAACGTTGCCAGATGTGCGCCAATAAATTCTACATTATTATACAACATGAAACCTCTATTTTTGTCTCGATTTAATTAAAATTTTCAAAATTCAGTTACAAATATATTGAAAATAACATATAAAAACTTTGTTATGACACATTTGTTAGGTGTCTATTATTCTAGTATGAGGGTGATAGTCATTCACCTGGCGTTGTGTGTGTGTGGGGGGGGGGGGGGGGGGGAACTGCCGCTCAGCAGCTCCTGGTATTTTCAACCTTATAGCCACATTACCATCATTTTTTAAATGTCATATTGTATAGATGCCTGGCATCTTTTCCTCCAATCAGTACATACAGTTCTCTCTCTCCCTAAACCTCTATTTCCCCTCTACCACCACCAACTCAATCTTCACCCAACAACAAACTACACCAAAACCACAGCTGCCACTACAACTGTAACCAACACTATAATTACAACCACAGCCACCAATTCAATTATAACTACTGCTAAGATCATAACCACCTACCATTAGGGATGACTTCTGTATTTCATAAGAAGATTAATATCTTGAATTCTTGAGTTGATATTCTGAATCCTGTTATATGCAACTGCACATTTGAATATGGAAATCATCATTAATTAAGATGTTGGTTTATTTTATAATGCATACACCTTCCTGCTGAAAATGTATAAAGATAGTACTGCATGCTTGTGAACATATAAAGGTTTATATAAATATGTGTGAAGGGATGGTGTGTATACTGTACGTTGCAATCTGATTGATAAAGATTAAGCCACCCAAGGGGTGGCACGGGCATGAATAGCCTGTAAGCCGCAATCTAAAAAATCTGGATCATTTGATTCCAGACTTGATCTAAATTTATGAATAATTCAGAATGCCCTTTTTAGGTTATCTATTACGAAACTTTCTGGATTTTTCTTATGCCAAATGATGCAGTACATGTTTCAGCACATTCATGCAAATAATATGTAAATAATTATTTTATGTGTTGGCTGCTCTAGAGAAACCACAGGAACCAAAATGTAGTTAGAATGCTCTACTATGTCATAATTTCTGAGTGAATCTACAGAGACCCTGAACTGGCCTTGAAGTTCTTGGTGCCCATGGTTAATGCCGTTATATCAGCCACAGGCTGTGTGCACTACCAGTAGCCATTTGCAGTGCTGCATAAATCATTGGTAAACAGCATCATTCAAATTCTCATGTTTAGAAGGTTTCAATGTTTGTCTCTTCTCTTTCCACCACAGCTCTTTATTTTATCCACAAACTAGTAGGCAGTAGTAGGCATCCTTCAATCTCTGAAGACTATGGAGTTGCGCCCTGACAGGGCGCAAAGCCTGGGTAGGTAGATATGGAGGAGAGGCTGTTACCCATGCAGCAGGTTCCCTCTCTCCACATTGCTGAAATTATCCAATAGAAAGGCAAATGCCAATACACATGGCTTTAGCAACGTTGCAGGAGCTGCCAGAACGAGGTCGACGTTAACAACGAACTGCCTTAGGGGCTCCAACTCCAGATTTTTCCTCGAGGTTGACTCCTAAAGCCTTTCCCAAAAAAGGGGTATGGCCGCAAGGCAGCGGAGGTTTAAAATCAGGGTTTTCCTTCCCTTGGATGGGCTGCCTTCCCAGGCTATCGAGTCCCATCTACCCGGAGCAGCTGGTTTTAAGGCGCCAGAGGCACGCCCTCGCCCCTTCTCCTGTCGGTAAAAGCAGTTCCGCCGGACTTAAAGACTAAGCCACCCTTGCAGGCCAGGAGTTGGACTTGGTTGTCAGAGGCTATTGAAGACGCATGCTGTATAGGAGCATTTTATAGGTCATGGGAGCTCGTCCCCCATTACCACCCCCTGGCTATGACAACCCCTTGAAACCAAACTATATATATGCATAAAGTACTTCCTTTGTTTTTTTATGGCAGAAATGGCACTAATACTAATGACATACTCTTACCAGCTGCTTTTCTTCCCAGCTATGATCATGTTTCATAACTTTGCTTTATTATCCATTTCTTCTTTGATGTATCCTACTACTTGGGGCACACGCATAGCTTCAACTCACAAATATTGGTCTTGGAAGAAATAAATGCCAGTATATATGCTTGAGTAACAAGAGGTCAGTCTCACTCACTAGGATAACATAGGGTAGGTCTGGATGCCTTGGAAAAAATATCAAACTAATTTGTACAATTTATAGTACAATAATAGCTCAGTAAAACATTTCTAAAATATTCATATTAGTTTGAATAATATGTCACATGAATCCCCTGCATAGCAGTGGAACTGCCTTTTCCCTTCACCTTCAATGCCTCTGTACTGGATGTCTACATCTACACCAGCCCAGATGAGTCATCAGTCCTGCCACCTCTCCGTACCCCCCCCCCCCCCCCCCCAGGGTACGGGAGGTAGAACAGACCAGCTCCTAGAACAGCTCCTAGAACAGCTCCTGGAACAGCTCCCGGACAGGCCCCCAAATTTATGTGACGAGTTGTGGTATCGCAGCTATACTGAACCTAGATGGTATGGCTCTCCCTCACACAAATAAAAAAAAATGCTGTTATTGGCCTTGCAGTGTGTAAGTCGCAGGTGGAAACAAATGAAAATCATCAAATAAATAATTAAAACAATTAGTGTTTAGAATAGTGTTCCACATTTTCAAGGGTGCATTGTATAGATTTACAGTGTCTTGTAGATCAGCAAATTAGTAGTAATTTGGTCTTGTGTCTGCATTCTGATTCACACTACTGTACTTTACAAACCTCATCCAATACCAAAATATGATTAATCATATTTCAAATGCTGTTTTTTTTTTTTTTTTTTACAGCTCCTGAGATTCCTGCTGGGTATAGGTGTCAGAATATTGTTGGATTTGTCGAAGAGTTGGTGGTGAATGATGATCCTGAGTATCAGTGGATTGACAAGATTCGTACGCCACGCGCCAGCAATGAAGCACGTCAGACTCTCTTTTCTAAACTTTCGGGTGAACTCCAGCGTCGAATTGGGCTGAAGGTTCTGGAACTTGGTGGAAATGCTGTGATTGGGTAAAGCTTTTTTTATCTTTAGCTGTGTTGTCTGATTAGTGTAGATGATGTTTCATACTTTTACTTTGAAAAACCTTATGTTGTAATTCAGTTGTTCCCATGTCTAAGTATCATGTTAACTAAGAACCGAAACTCTCACCTGCTTGACTGCCATGATTCTCATCCAGTGGACACAGCAAATCTTGCCAGGGGGAGGGAAACTGAATGTCAGTGCTTTGAATGGTGCATTTCATATTTACTTTCTGCCATAGTTTGTATATAAATGATTTGCATGTTGCTCAGTACAGTATATAATGTATAAGCGTTTAATTTAAGTATTGTTTAGCACCATGCAAGCAATATGTATTGCAAACTGTAGCCTACATTACACACAGAAATCACAATAGCATGATGCATCAAATGAACAAATCCACAAGGGCCGTGATGAGGGTTCGAACTTACGCCCGGGTTGCAATTCTTTTATCATGTCGGGGTCTAGTCGACCAAGGCAGTGCTTGGGATCATCCCTGGGGTAAGTTTGAACCCTCATCACGGTCCTTGTGGATTTGTTCATTTGTAGCCTACATATTTGCAGTAGCTCCTAGATCAGATCAAATTTGTCCAAGCATTCTTTTAACACTGCAAAACCATTACATGTCTCATTGGTTTTGCTTGCTTGAATCATCTTGCTGGAAAGTGAGCTGGATTTATGTAATAAAGAATGCCTTGCTATCCTTGCTTTGTTTAATGCAAATTCCTCTCTTGCTAGCACTTACATAATTATTTGTCTACAATATATCAATAAGTGTTGGTAAAATAATGGCCAGAACATAAAATGCAAGTAGGGTTAATGGTTCCCATTTGATTTTTTAACAGGTATCGTCAATATTTTGACTTGGAGGGCGAGACAGGTATTGTAGTTCGTGGCTTAGGATCGGCAGTAACTTTAATTCGACTGCATTATGAGTCAAGTGCAACAGGAGGAACCACTCATTCCCCATCACCACTACGAGAGATAACAGCTCAGAGAGAGTGAGTTAATGACATTTCTTTTAAGCTTAATTTATATTTAAAAACAGAAATGATAGGCATATTGTATTATGATAATGTCGATCCAATCTTCAACTTGATGGCAAATGCTATATTTCTGAAATTATAAGTAACTGTTATGTCTAGTCTAACATTAGAATTAATGAGCATGTATGAATATTTTGGGAACCTTGGGTTTTCACCAGTGTTTTTCAGCCAGAGTTCTGCAAATCATCCTCATGGGTTCTACAAGAAATTTTAACAAAAAAACCCCACAAAATACTATATAATTACATAGATTATGGGTTCTTGAGTACATGAAAAAATAATTTTGGGGAAGTTCCACAATAATAAAATGCTTGGGAATCACTGGGCTGGATAGTAATTTTTCTTAATGTCTCACTTTCAATACCAGTATAGTGAGGTATTGTTGTTGAAGGTCGTAATAACCATACAGTAGATGAAATACGTTTTTGTGCTAGAAGGCTTACTGAGTAGATTATGGTGGCTTTTTTCTTGTATGGAATATCAGACTAATCTTTCCAGAATTCTGTGGATTCCTCTTGCTTTAGTCACATTTTTCCTTCATTGCTCTTTTGGACCATTTCTGGTTGCCAGTGTGGGATTCAGTTTATTTCCTGTTCCAATTCTTTGTCAGGTCATCCTCAGTTTCATTTTTAGGTGGCTTTCTGTGGTTTTAGCTGGAAGGCTGCACCTATTCATCTGTATTATCAGTGTACGTCAGTATTATGAGTGGTCATCTGTACGTCAGTGCAGATGACCTGCCGCTTGCCTGTTCACAGTCAAGTCTTTCCTTGTCACTGGAAATATGGTTTTTCATGGGATTGACCTCCCACTAACAATGTTGTGTCGACCTCCTGCTAACAATGTTGTGTGATATCTCAGTAGTTTCTATATATATTCGTGGCATGATTTTCTTTGTTTTTTCTTGGTATTTTTCTTTGTTTACTGTTGTTCTGTTAGGCTTCTGGGCTTGTTTCAGTGTGTCCTTTGTTGTGTATGGTTTCCTTCCCCTATCCCCAATTTTCAATGTCAGCTTGGAAATCACTTCTTGTTATTGTGGCTAAATATATTTCTAGCATTCTTATGCTGCTCTGTTGTAATGCTCTCTGCACTACCTCTTAGTTCACCTGATGTACACTTTTGTGTGCCTGGAGGCATTTGACACTAAAGTTTTTCTTCCGATCTTCTTTTCTTCTGAAAGTCTTCCGATCAGTCCCCTTCTGAGCTGGTGTCCTAGGAAAAACCTATTTTTTCTCTAGGTGAAGTGCCAAGGAGGAGGAAGCGGAAGTAAGCTTCTGGGAAGACCTGCCCAGAAATACAGGATTAAATGTAAGGAAAGGTCTCTCTTATTTTCTTGACAGTCCTCGGTAGATTCCTGAACCCACTCTTCCTTCTTCGTTTGTCTTTTCTGTGAGGAGCCCTTCCGGCTCCCTGGAGCTATCGGACTGATGTACGCTATATTAGTCTGGTGTAAATTGCAACTTCCATTGCAATTTTTTACCAGGTGGGGTTTGTTTTGTTATGCCTACCTTTCTGGGTGTCTAACCCCGGTTGATGGCAGACATGGAATACTCCCAAACACATGGGGGAGTTTTCATAGGCCATTGCTCCCTGTGCCCCTCTGAGGGGGGCCAGATTCTGGCTCGTGGTCCCCAGTAGGCAGAACTCCAATTTACTGATGCCCCAGACTAATATAGCATATATCAGTCTGATAGCTCCAGGAAGCCTCAGGGCTCATCCAGAAAATGGTGCTTCATTACATTCAATGCTGTTTTTTTGCTTAGACTTAAGAGTGAAGGGGTTCAGTCTCTGGGACCCTCAGGTGTCACTTGTTCAATAGTGGGTTGGTATTTTTAATGTTTGGCAATGAATTAATTTTCAAACTTTATTATTGTGTTTTGCAACACTCATTATTGTGGGCTTGCCTCAGTTGTGAGTTGATCTGTGATCCTCACAAGCTTCCCTTCCCTTTTTGAAAAGGCAAGACAGAATTATATAGAATTATTGGAATGGTACTTACACCCAGTAAGCAGATAGTCACAGTAGGAGTGTTGAATGTGGCCTCTCAATATTGGCGCTGTTAGCTGAGACAGCTACTGAGGACTGCATGAAAAAGGTATTTTGTTATACTTAATGATGTACAGTATATTTATTTTTTCCATTTCTAAATATTTTAGAGGGAATTAGTGCTATACAAGTCAGCATTGGGCAGCATTAAACGAGGTATGCGTTTATATTTTAACAACTGACATAGTGTTGAAAATGCACACTAGACATTTCAGGAATAAAAAAGAAAATATTAGCAAAATTTAACTTGAGATAAATAATATTTGAATAACTAATCCAGTATCTGATAGTCAATCACAGTATTCATTAAACGGAATTTTCATCATGGCCGAATCACAGATAATGTACCAGATCGGCAAAAGAAAACTTGCTATCATTAATTTTGTGTGGATAATTAGATTCAGTAGCTTTTTCATGGTACTGAATTTATTATTATTGGATTCATGGGTGCCTTTCAAGTTGAGACTCGCGGGCACCCATGAGCATCTCGTGTGGACTTGTAATCTCATATTGTTTTTGTGTGGCTTGAGCATTCAGACCATTGGATTAATTTTGAAATTTGTACACAAACCGTCTCTTCAATATGATAGCTAAAAGTAGTTTTATTGTGTTGTTGAAGTCTTGGAGATGCAGCCAAAATATGAGGAAGAATACAAGTTTGACTCTAAAACAGAAATGTATAGTTGTACAAGGCCACCTGCTACCAGTTGTTATGTTTGTTCATGTGTCTGTAAATATTTCCTCTGCATCATCCTATCCAGGGTACTCTGTGAATTAAAGAAAATCAAACACTATATTAATGAAGAAACAGTACCGGATATGTTATTGGTAATTTGCACCATTTGTGTGTTGCATAATGCTTTACAAAGGAAAAGGGTAAGGAATACTGTATACTGTATTGCCTTTGTTTACACCTGTTTAATATCTCAACCAGGCAGAAACGAAGACATGTTCTCTGTAAGTGTTAGGCTACACACATGCACATATAATATTGGTATAATTTTACCAATATTATTTATTGCTTTTACATTAATCTATTGTATTTCTTTGGTTTTCCTCTATACTCTAATTAAATAGCTAAGATTAGTTTGCTTAAAACCGTATGTGTTTGTGTGACGTACACTTCTGCATGGCTACCTGCCAAAAAATATTAGGGACTCTTGTGCTTGTTGTTGACCAAACCACACATTAGAAAGTGAAGGACTGATGACGTTTCGGTCCATCCTGGACCATTCTCAAGTCGATTGTGAGAATGGTCGACTTGAGAATGGTCCAGGATGGACCGAAACGTCGTCGTCCCTTCACTTTCTAGTGTGGGGTTTGGTCAACATATTTCAGCCACGTTATTGTGACTGCTCGTCTGCTCTTGTGCTTGTTGTTTACTGGATAGGTTTATCTGCTACATCAACAATCCACGTTATTTTATTAACAATAATTAAGCAAATAAAGGCAATAGAGCCTAAATAAATGCTCAAAACATTTGACAGGAATAGGGATGTATGGTTCTGCATGGCTAGCTGCCGCAAACAGTGAGTACTCATTTAACTGTATAAAGGGGAATTGGAAAATGTTCGTGCATAGTCTAATTACTTGGAGCCTTCAGCCAGTAATAGATTAGTGATGAATATACACAGGAATTCTGAACCTACCGTTCAAAAAAGTTATAATTACGTATAACCATTATTACTTTGATTTGTTTTTCTCCTTTCTTACTGTAATAATGGCAAAGAGTTGTTTCATAGTGATTCAAAGAACTATGCTTATATAAAAGCTAAATCAGTATCTGGAAGCCTGTGGCACATGCTTCAAGTGTTTTCTTAAAAGCCTTTAACACTTTAAGGCATTTGATTGTACCGTATAGAAAATATTCTACACGAGTCCATCCCATCAAGTAAGAGCATGTCCCAGAAGGAAGATGTATGATATTGATAAATTGTTATAATTTTTTGTGATATACCTGTATGAATTCAAGTATTTGACCTTTTAGCTGCTTTATTTGATTGTGCAAGTGTGAATCTTTTTGAGAAAAGCACTATAAACATTGTAACTGAGTGATGTAATTTTCAGGAAATGCTCAAATGTCATCAGTTGGGAGTTGAATGTAAAGTACCTTTAATTGATAAATGGGGGAAAAGGACTGCTGCATGGTGCTAATTTGGCCCCATTGTTTTGAAGATGGTTTGCAAATAAGGCCACTCCCATGCACTGCTCATTATCAGTTAAATCATTTTGTTTTCTGAGGCACTACCTTCACTGGCTCCCTAGCCTAAGGGAAAATCACTATATTGACCAGGATCATGAATCAATCAGGCAGGGCGATATTCTTGCATCAGTACCAGGGAATTTTTCAAGCATCCTTCGCCATACTCTCCATCAGTTGGCAGTGCTGTGATCACATCAGGTGGCAATGCCATGTTCACCATCAGTTAGTAGCGACCTGCTCACTACCAAGTGGCAGTGCCAGTCTCATCAGGTGGCAGCACCATACTTGCCACCAGTTGACACTGTCATGTATAAAAGCAAATGAGGAATGTATGTATTAGGTCCAGTAACTATACCATTACTTTTTTTTTTGTTTGCTGATTACTCTGGGTTCCAGTTATTTTCACCAGTGGCCACAGCCATTTACCCCGCTCTTGGGGTCAGCTGGTATTTCGTGGCCCTTGTTTGGCCTTGGGTAGGGAGTGGTATTGTTGCTGGTTGGGGCATCTAGGTGTTGCACACCCAGCTTACCTATGCAGTGGCCAGTTCCTGTTTCCTCTGGGAATGTTGTACTTTTGCAGGGTTTTTCTTTTACTTTTTGTTTTGTTTGCCTGATGGGGGTCTGCCTGGTGGCTATAGGACCACTTCTGATATTTTGGTGGATCTCCGTTAGTCCCCTGTACATGTTGCAGGGTTTTGATCTCCCCCTTATTAGCTTTGGATTTAACCAGTTAGCAACACCTTGCCCGGGGTTCCTGTAGCAGTCACCCTATGGGCCTGGAAAACCCTGTCGGGGCTCGGTTGACCTATGGATGTGTCTTCCGAGTTTCAGCTCGCCTCGGGCAAGTTTGAAGGTTGCTGTGTGCCCTTGTCTCAGAGTGGCAGTCACCACTTTTGAGGTGAACACTTCACCGCAAACACTCCACCTCCTGCCATCACTACCATCGTCACTGTCATTCATTACTTCACCATCACCATCCTTTCTTCACTGTTGACCAGACCACACACTAGAAGGTGAAGGGACAACAACGTTTCGGTCCGTCCCTTCACCTTCTAGTGTGTGGTCTGGTCAACATACTTCAGGCACGTTATTGTGACTCATCGCCTTTCTTCACTGTCACTACCTTCCATTATCTCTGGACTTTCTGCTATTACTATCAACACAACCATTATTCCTTCCACCACCACTACTTCCCTGTTTGTATTGTGAGATATGTTGGTCTGGAGATACCATTCTTGATTGCTCTCATACAATCCAACCATATCTAGATGTAATTAATTAAGAGTTTATATGCATAAATTTGACTACAATAAATGTTAGGACCTGCCTTGATGCTTAGATTAAATATTGTTTTCTAAAGTGTCCTTTGGCCAGAAGAAATGCTGAATTTGTCTAGGTATTATAATGTATTTCTTCTACTTTATGAAAGCTTCCAATTGATTAGGTAGTAACAAATCCTGAACTAATGCCTTGTGTAGCCACAATGGGCCAGGTTAAAGATGCAGCATCCTGCATGCTTTCCCCCTCCCGCCTCCTTCCCTGTTTCAATTTCAAATCGTGCATTCCTCTGGACACTCTTAATATTGACTACTTTTGATTTTAACTGCTAAATTTATTACAAATTTTATTATTACTGTTTTTTCAAATAGATTGTGTGTAAGCAAAGTAGTTGAATGTTTATTTAAGCATCGTAATATCTGTAGTGTATCTTTCGTAAAAAGTACACTGTAATGTAAGACTAAACGTCTGCAAACAGGACAATATACCGTACTCTTTATTTAAACTAAGTATATATGAAATATGCTTGATTTATTCTGCATACTTTATATATTGCACATACAGCACTGTTGATTCTCTAGTCCTTGCTATTACTGGTACATGTTATTAAGCACACACAGTGTAAGTCAGATTTGATAGTGGTCACTTCTAAACTGTTATTCTGAATGTAAGGTCAATTTGAATTATGCTTTCCATATATGAAATACACATTGATGCTGTATGTTTAATATACATACTGTAATGCATTTAACTCTGCTGTTATGTTAATTAAATGTCTAAAAGAGAATGTCTCGGTGGATTTATATATGTCAAATACTAACTATTTTGTATTCTGTGATGGTCTATGTTTCTATTTAATTTTTAATTATTATTTTACACTGAGCAATATCTGTGTGTATGTGTAGTTACTTATGTGTAGGTACAGGACGAGTGCTACGGTACGCAAGCAGGGATTGGAATTCAGTTTAGTTTGACTTGCTTTCACTGTTTGGGATATTTTAATCCTAAGTTAAAGGCACAACTTTGTGCAGTGCATAGAGTTGTGAGTATTTATAGGTCTTTGAGTATCCTTTAATTATCTCCAGACTATGCCTCACTCAGAGGTTGAGTACGAGTGGTGAACAGCGAAGACTTATCTCCTTTTAGCTCGTATCACCTCATATACTGTTCTCTAGAACTTAGGGCTAGGGACTTAGGTGTGCTTTGCCGTGAGAGTTAAACTTTGAGCTACTATCTCAAATGCACACTATTGAGTGTACAAATTTACATAGTTTTAGAAAACACCGATTCAGAGATACAAACTGTGTGTATGATTGTACTCAACATAAACTGTGTGGGGGTATGTATGATTGTACCCTGCATAAACTATGGGGTGTGTGTGTGTATGATTGTACCCCAATATAAACTGTGTATGATAAACACCCAACATATGATAGCACCCATCATAAACTCATGAATGTGTAAGGGGGGCTTGTTCCTTAATACATAAACATGGGGTTTACCTTGCACGCACATCCAAGTGAGCCAGAGATAAAAGAGAATGGAGGAATTTCTTAGTTGTGGGGGGATTGCAATTGGATAGGAAATAGTAAGAGACAAACTCCAGGAGTGAATTCAAAGGTAAAAATAGAAAAACATCTTGGGCTGCACAGGTATCACACTGAGCATGTAATTTTTGAGGCAGGGCTAAATTGCTGGAGTGCAACCCCCTACAAACACGCTTCAGTGAGTATTTACACATGCTCACTCACACTTATTTTTCATTGTATTGTGCTTTGTGGTAAGTCATTGCTTATTTTTGTAGATGCCAGTGCCTAGTTTGTCTGATGCATGTTACTAATAAACCTACAGTGTAGACATTGCCCAGAACTAAATCTGTTGTGAGCAGATGCTCTTAAAACATTCTTCGGCTATTTTATTCTCTGCTCTTCATTTAAATTTGTGTTAAATATTTTCTTTCATGAACAAGTTAAATCAAACCAGACAGATATTCCGCTTCTATTTTTGTCTTTGTGTAGATATATTATTTGTTTTGTAAGGGTTTCAAAAATATTTTCTAATTTATAATCTGATTCTTTTATCATGTATATAAACTAGCCTGAGTAATAATCACTAATAAGAACACAGTCATAGGGGGTAAACATTTGTAAAGAATGTTTCCACAGAATATTAAATCCAAAAAAGTACACGCCTGAATATTTACGAAACTCTTGATTCTAGTTAGGCAAATAGAGGATGTTTAAAGTTTAGTGAAGAAAACAAGGCTGGAGTACATAAGTGAAAAAGTGTTGTGGATAAATTTGGTAGAGAGACTGGTGGAGGGAATTCTGAGACCTCCCTGCAGTGTAGAGGGCGGTATATGATGTATTGCAAATATGAAAAGCATAGTCTGGCCTATATGGCTCCCTCTGTTTTAACACAATGAACCAAGAGATAAAATGATATATGTCATATATTTTTATGTTGGGTGAAATCTCGGGACAAAAATTCCAATGGTATACAGTATATTAATACTTTTGTTGACATTATTAATACTGTATTACAGTACTGTATAGTACTGTATAGTAATGTCTTGTGCTATACAATGTTAGTACCGTAATTACATACTTCATAGAAATACTTATTTTGTACAATACAGTACATGTTCTGGGTATATAGAGTATATTGTCCACAAATATTTTATAATGATACCAAGATTTAATGTGGTGTTGAGGAAATTTGAATTAGTAGCTGCTTTCTAAAATATGGTTTAAAGGTTCCGGTATTTTGACAGATATATTTAATTTTGCATATTTAAAATTTCTATAAATTTTTGTATACTGTACAGTATTACCTTTTGTTCTTACATAAACAGTGATGGTTTTCTTATGTGACTTATTAATGCCACATTTGTAATTTCACTTTTGATGCACATCTCATCTATGATTGTTAATATGAAGTAAAAGTCCTTTGAAACTAAATTACTCATACATTTGCATCCTAATATTTTTTTAGCATTATTAATATATTTTTATTTTTACAATTCCATGTCAATCAGCAGGTTCTTGATGGTAACTTGTTTGATGGAATATTTTTCTCATCTTTTACTCAGCACAGTTAAATGTTTGCATATTTTGTTCAGCAGGTAAATTTTTTTTTAACTAATTTTATTAATTTTTTCCTTCATTCTTTCCTCCTGTTTTCTCCTCTTCCTCACATGAACCACCTAATATTTTAACAATTTAATGTAATGCCCCCTCTCCATTCACACTGGTGGTGCTTTTCGTGCAATATTTGTATTTTGCTTTGTGTTGAAATGTTGATTGAAACTTGCTATCTTACCAACTTAATTTTGTGTTTTTGCATTGATGTAATATTATTTAGTGTGGAAGATGAGTTAGTGCTAGAAAATATGTATTTTCTTGTTCCAAACTTTAACATGCCCATGCCCATCTCTGTTGTCCACTTGCCCAAGACACACTCCTCAGTCTCTGCCCCCTCCACTTGCCTACGGTCTCTTGTCTCCTCACAGAATGGGAGTTCAAGCTCAAGTTTTTCATCCCATGAAACTTCACGTCACCCCTCCCAGTGGCTTGACCTGATGGTAAACCCAACCTCAGATCAAAGTAGACCTCTTCCAGGACTGCTGGCTCTTAGCAATGCAAAACGAATGATACGTGGATTACCACTAGCCAGACGGAAACGTAGTTCCACAATTATCCAACATCCGCCTGTTTATCTTCAACGTAATTCATCGTTCTCGCATGGTGCATCGCAGCATTCTTTTCACAGTTTAGGTCATTTTAAGCATCACAAGATTAAAAGTTCAAGGGTGGTACATGGATCAAACTATAGACATCAGAATGCTCAAAATATCAGGCAAAATTTACCTTCTAGTACTCATGATAGCCTTGAATCAATTAGAGCTGGGCTACGCAAGACAGCTCAGCGGATGTTGAGATTTAAAGAGGGAAGAGAAAAATCACAGAGTTTAGAAGTGAGTCATGGTAGCCACTGCAAAACACCACATATCAGTAAAAAGACCAGCCTGAAAACTAGCCCCAAGGTTCACAGTCCAATGGGACGACTACATAGTAAATGCCATCACAGAACCAAAAATGCAAAAGAAAGAATGCCAATTCATAGCTCAACCACATCTCCTGAAGATTCTGATGACTGGGATCTTGATTCACCAGATATTGTAGAAGTTATTGGCCTGGAAGATGATGATTTACAGTATTCTGATGATGAAGAAATTGGTCATGAGATAACCAGTATAGAATACTCTTATAAAAATATATCCTCAGCTTTCTCAGACCCAACACTAAATAAGAGTGTTTATGCAAAACATCAATTAAGCCGACCACTTGATCCCTCAGCTCCAATTCAATACATTTCTTCTGATGAAGACACCTGCAGTTCAGAGCCTGTGTCCTCAGACTTCAGTTCTCCAGAACATGGAGTGACAGCCCCTAAATGTGGACATAAATTTTTTTTAAGTGACGAGGATATTGCATCAGAGAGTTCACTAGAAAGTCATTTTACAGGTCCTGTAGATGTTAGAGATCTGCAACGTCTTTCAGAGAGCTCTGTTAGTGAGAGTCACCATTCAGGCAATGAAATAGTAGGGGATGACCTTACATCATCCGGAGTTGCAGCATCAGAATTTCAGATCAAGAGTTGTTCATTTGGAGGATGCAAAAAACAAACACTCTTGTTGGAAGCAGCCAATAACCATGAAGATTTACATATGATTACAGACTTCAAGACTCCCTCAATAACACTCGAAGAGCATATAGATCAATCAGATTTACAGATTGCTGATATTATAGCCCCTCAGAGAAAATATGGAATTGCATCATTTAGCCCAGAGAATAGTAAAGAACAGAGGATCTCACAAGAACAGAAGCAGGAGTCAAGTAGTTTAGAACTTGAAATACCAAAACATATTGATTATAAAAAGAAGCACATGTCTCTCGATATACATTCAACATGCGAGTCAGCCATGAGTAAATTAGAGCCAGCAGCACCCTGCAGTACCTCAACACCTCTTCCAGCAATTGCAGTTATTCCTTCTACTCCAGTCTTACCTCCTAAATCTCGAAATCCAGCTGTGCATATTCATACAGGCACAGACAATATCAGTTTGCATGAATTTTCTTGTGCATCTGAATCTAACACTAATTCTTCTTTAAATGATGACATTGGAGGCAGTAATGATAGCGATGCTACCTTGTCTGTCTTGCCTCCTTCTCTTTCTTCTGTTGCTTCTAATTCACACTCTGTATTTAACACTAACTTGTATAGTTCTCCTTTATCCTCTTCCTCTCACTTATATTTACCATTTCCATCATCATCCTCAAATCCTGCCTTATCTTCCATACTTACTGCCTCTTCCTCTACCTCATCTAGTTTATCACACCTTGCCTCATCCTCTACTTCCTCTAATTTAGCATCCCTTGCATCTTCTTCATCTTCTGAGTTTCCATGTGTAACTAGCAGTTTAAGCATGAGTAGTGACTTGCTTCAGTGTGCTTTAGATGTAGCAGCTAAATGTCCCTCCCATCCTGTGTACATCTCTAGCCTAGACATGCTAGTGGAGGCCCGGCCTGGCTCAGCATCGATGGTAGGCTCTCCCAAGCGCTCGTCACGTAGTCGCCATACTAGTGGCTGTAACCTCATGTCCAGGAGCCCGTTACCCACTGATGCTGATGGTTCCAAGAGTGACACTGGCGTTGGAGGATGTACAGCGGTGGGTGGGACCACAACTTCAGTAAATGGGAGTGCAGCCACCCAGTCTCCAACTCATTCTGGCAAACTGGCTAGCCCTGCTCATACTCCAGGTGTCTCCATCAACAGACGATCTTCAGATTCTGATCTCTCCATTACTCCAAAGGGTTAGATTTTCTTTGTCATGCTGAAAGATTGTTCAAAATGGTAACTTAATGAAAATAATATTTTTAATTTTGCAATATACAGTAGTATATAAAATTCATTTATATTTAATATGTCCAATGATATTTTCTTCAATTCTCTATATTTAAAATTTCCTGATGTCTGCTGCATAAGGCAGCTATATTTCCATAGTGCATGATAGATAACAAAGGCAATATTCAGTACCAATATTTTATGAAAATTTTAAAATTTGTGCAGGAGGCAGTCTGGCAGGGAGTGGAGGCTCATCAGGTGGAGGTGTCGGGAAAGGGGGAACACTTACAGGAGTTCATCGCCCTATTATGACCCAGGAATCATTTGACATGCTTGAATACCCTTTCCTTACCATGAAAACATTCCCTGCTGGTTTCATCTTGCATCTCGGTAAGTGCTCTAATTTAATGTTTAAAAGAAGGTTTTTCATATTCAAATTCTGGGCGTTACCTGAATAGATGCCTGTGATGGGTCACTTATTTCAACAAGTATCGCTTTGCACATATACACCATGCAGCATTTTTAGCCATATTTAATTAAATTCTGGAATGTTAGACGACACAGATTTAAAGGATAGAGGAAATAAAGACAATTTTTTGCTAGATACCTTCCATAACATAAGCAGTATAGAGCAAACCAGAAGATTATGGTTAAAAAGGGATTCCTTAGAGGGGATGATGAGTGACCATTTTCTTGCTCCGGGTATATAGCCTGGTGTTCTAGCAGTAACCTGAGTGACTAGGGAAGCAGCCGAAGTGAGAATTTTTTTTTTTATTGAAGTTTACATCCTGTTGAATATAAGGTGATTGTACAGTATTGAATGCTAAATTTTGTGTTTTATGTTTGATTACCAATGTTCTATAAATAAATATTAAACTTTTTCTTAAGAAATGGGGGTAATCAGTTCAAGGATTAATAGAATTTTAGTTCCTCCTGTAGTAGGAAATAAGTGTTTTGGCAATATTTCCTAGGCTTGTGCTCATCCCTGGCTTGTGTTCATGTAGTAGTAAGTAGACAACTGGGAGTTGGGCATATATTGTGGGTTACATATTGTGAAAGGACAGTCGCTGGCTTAGAAGGAACTCAATAAACAAACCGAGTAGGCTTCCTTTCCCTGACTATGGAGACTATAAGGTAGCTTGTATAAAACGATCGTTGTCTGCCTCATGTAAGGTCTCTGGATAATTCATCCGCCAGTCAAATAATCTAGTAGAAGATTGGTTAAATGGAAGAGCATAGAGAAAGTAGAGTCCAGTTTGGGTAGGGTTTCTGGGTTACACGAACAGTCTCTGGATTATCCAACTACAGTATTTATTGTAGTTGTTGGATAATCTGGGAATAGACAGGAAATCTCTGGATTAATGTATGTGGGTCTGAATTGATTAGTTTGGAGAATAGGAAGATAACTGGATGTATGTGACATGATTTTGTTAATGAACCGAATACTCTCTTTACATGTAGGTGGAACAGTAAGTGCTCGGTCAGTGAAGCTCTTAGATCGCCCTCACACTCCAGAAGAGGTAGAAACACGTGATAATTGGTGGACACAACTCAGAATGGAAATTCGATCACATGCTCGTGCTTTGGCATGCAATGTTGTGCTTGGCTACGAGGAATTTACCACTATTAGGTAAGTAAATAATATTAGTAAATAAGTCATTTATTCATAAAAGTAGAGTAAACTGGCTCTAGGTATGAAGATGGAGAAATTGTAGTATAAATAATATTAATTACAAGAACTCTTACAACTGTAAGAACTGTACAAGAATGTAAGAACTCTTGTATATATTGTTACGGAAATCCCTTGCTTAGGCAAGGAGATTCTGCCTATTCCTTTACCGCCTATTCAACAACATATCTGCATACTCAAGTGTAAGAAATTATCATCAAGAACAACAACAATACGTGCTCAGAAGCCATGTCTAGATGGACACCACCACTACCCTCCCCGCCTCAAGTACCCGACACACCTAGACACCTGCTGTCTGACGGCTCAGCTCCACTCGCTGGTCAACAAGCTCACTGCTCGTTTGAGACTGCCGGCTGGCAATTACCTGCACATCAGCGCCACCTACACGGACTCGGCCGTGTATAAAAGCAGCTCACCACCAGCTACACCTCAGAATGCTCTTCAGTGCTCCTAGCTGCAAGATCTACTCTTGCTTTCCTGGGTGTCCGTAGTCTCTAGCAGCTATTGTATATATTTATTGTGCACCTTTAATTTTGCTATTAACGTTATTGTTACATGTTTGTTTCTCTTGCATTTTTGTTTTGTGTTACGCCAAGTATCATAGGGGATTTGTTTTATTTGTTAAAGTCATTTTTTTAGTAAATATTTAAAAATTTTCATTCTTTGTACATTATCCCGCAGCTCTCACACCATAAAGAGGTCAGAAGCAGTTTATTTACTTTGTTTTACTTTTTTTATTTAATGTTATTGGCATTCCACCAGCCAGAATAGCCCTTGCTCTATTCATCCACTTTTCCGTAACAATATAAATAACATAAAACATAAACAAATAAAAATTAAGAATGTATCATTATGCCTCAACATTCTTAGCAAATCTTATAGCTAATAAAATCTAGAGAAGAGATGTGCTAGATTGATGCTGGCCCCTTTCGGCTCCCCGGAACTATACCGGGCTGATGTGTATATATATTAGACCGTGGCAACAGTCAATCGATGGAGTTCTAAGCCTACCAGGGACCACGAGCCAGAACCTGGCCCCCCCCTCAGAGAGGCACAAGGAGCAATGGCCTATAGACACCCCCATGTAGTTGGAAGCAGTCTGTCTGCCATCTACCAGGTCAGGCACCCAGAAAGGTAGGAATTCCAAAACAAACTACAGCTAGTTAAAAATTGCAAACCGAAAGCTGAACGACTAATCAGAACTCCCCAATCAAAAAACAATTAAGCAAGCATGACGTCACCACAGCTGCTGCACCGCTGTCTGCGCAGCGACTGATGGGAGTTTTTAAACCTCAAGGCTATTCTCTCTGCCTCCAATATCAGCAGTGGAGTGGCTCTGTTTTCAGCTGGTGCATTGGTATCACAATATCCCATATATTTAGTGGAGAATATGGCCATCTCAGCTTGTGAGTCTCCTAGCCTAATCATTGGAGCTTCATTTCAACATAGCTTGACATGCACTATACACTTTTGGCTCATGGTTCCACTGCTAAGCATCCTTCCTTCGGCTATAGATCCTGAAGGAATTCAGTCTTGTCTCAAACAGGTGATCTCTGGAGTTGAGTTGGAGGCTATACGTTCAGCTGATGCTCTCCACGGAGGGAAGTAGGGGAGGTTGTTTAGGAGGTCTGAGCCTCACCTGCAGCCTTCTCTTCCTCCTACCTGTAGGTTCTGGGAAAGATCTTTATTTTTTAAGAAGGATTTGGTGGCTCCCTGTCTTCCTGCACTTGCCTCGAGTTGGGTTCTGCTTCTTGGCCTGGCTTAATGGCCAAGAAGCATTTTGCATTGGTGAATGAGCTGGTTTGGCCATTGGGCTATGGTAGTAGATGCACAGAGAAATCACAGGAAATGTGATATGTATCAATTAGAGAATCCACGAGAGCCGTGATGAGGATTCGAATCTATGCGCTGGGTATTCTCAGATAAACGCTCAAAACGACTAGGCCATGACATTGTAAAAGAATTGCAACTTAGGGTTCTGCTGAACCCACAAGGATTCCAAAGGCTTCCACTGAAGCCGAACCAGGATTTCACACAATCCCCCATGCAATCTAGCTCTGTCGTCCAGTAGTTCTACCTCTGACGCCGCTCTTTCAATATACCAGTGCATAGATTCGAATCCTCATCTCAACTACTGTGGATTTTCTTATATGGTAGAAGTTGTATCCTGGTTTTCTTTCGACCTTCCTGGACTCTTGTTCCAAAGCTGTATGACATGTATCTCCAGGTCACAAGGATTCTATATTTTATGACTTAGTTTGATTATGATGCATCTTCCTTACCACCCAAAGTGTGGCTAATTGTGCCCTTATTTAGGGATGATGTTTTAATGCCTTGCAGGTTCTCTTAGTCTTGCCTGCCTGTGGCAGATGCCAGGCAGCATCTGCTGCTGATGATCCTGTTGCATAATGGGGTCCATGCAGCTGAACTGTACCCAGCTTGTTTTGACTTTTGGTCTAAGTCTGCTTCCTGGCTGTGGTGTCGACCCCCATCTCTGCTTGGCTAGCAGGCTATTCTTTATTTTCTCTTTTTCTCTTTATTTTTCTCAATTGGAAACAGGTTCCTGTCTTCAATGTGATGTGGGCTGGAGAGGAGCTAGACTCCTTGAATAAGCTGAGAAAAACTTTGATTCCTTGAATGAGACCGTGTATGCCCTGATTCTATCTTGTGAGGTGACTAGATGGCAGCTATTTGTCCAGGTTCCATGATGCCAATACCCCAGAATATGAGTGTGTGTCCAGTGTAACCGCCTCATAATAAGTGGTATTCTTCTTCTTGAGGTTTTCTTGAGATGATTTCGGGGCTTTAGTGTCCCCGCGGCCCGGTCCTCGACCAGGCCTCCACCCCCAGGAAGCAGCCCGTGACAGCTGACTAACACCCAGGTACCTATTTTACTGCTAGGTAACAGGGGCATAGGGTGAAAGAAACTCTGCCCATTGTTTCTCGCCGGCGCCCGGGATCGAACCCGGGACCACAGGATCACAAATCCAGTGTGCTGTCCGCTCAGCCGACCGGTAGGAAATAAGACTAAGAGGAATCGTTATACAAACGATGAGTCACAAAAACACGGCTGAAGAGTTAACATGTTTTGGTCCAAGAAGTACTGAACATCATAGATTCATCATTTTCAGATGTGTGAGTAAGGTGTCAGGCATCATTGTGTCAAGGAGTGTTTTATTTTTGTGAGGCATATTTGTAAATGAGAACTCATGGTAAGCACTTAACACTTGGCCATATAAAGCTCTAGTCCTGCTGTTGTGGATGTTTTTGCTGGAGTTTGAATGGACAGGTTGAGTATCTTGAACATTTTCCTATATTGCTCTCTTATTTCTGGTGGGCTGAAGCCACCTCATTCCATGAAAGTGGGGAATTGGGCAATAATATTGACTTAAACTCAAGAATTCTATATATTTATATTATGTGTTGCTTTAAAGCAACACATAATATATATACGTTTTAACAGTCAATGAAGTTGGCTGCATTTTTAGATAATAGTAACAGTGGCTAAATGCTTTATCTTTGTCATGCAAAGTCCCATGCCAACTAACTTTATCTTCCCTATAATAAATAAATTTTAACAATTCTTTTCTAACATCCAAATTTGATGTTGCCTAAATTTAGAATATATTTAATTGATCATACATATATATATGCATATACTTGAACTTCAAAATTGCTGTTTCCCTTAGTTTTGGGCTTGAAAACCAAATTTCTTGTACTAATGTTAGGTCTGAACCTAAAAAATATTTTACTTAAATCATCTCAAGTCTCAAAATTGTCGTACTCCAGAGTTTTAAATGTAAACCTTAAAATTATTATGACCAGAATTTTGGAAATAAACCTAAAAGTTAATACACTCCACAGCGATGAGGTTTGTGTGTTGAATGCAACGGGCACTGCAGCAGTAATTAGCCTCCATTATCTTGAGATTGATACAAGTGGAGGTTTGCCAGGTATTCCCAGGTCCCTGCGAGACCCAATGACACTCTCACTGGATCGCAAAGATTTTGAACAACAACAAGGACAACAAATTCAACAAACAGGAAAGTCGGCAGGAGGCAAGGATGGCCACTCTGGATCACAAGTGAGTCCAACTTATTTAATAAAAAGACATTGAGAATTAGGTTAACCCAGCTTCTGGGTTAATCCAGAAACCTAACCCAGCTGTGTTGATTTTATTGAAACATTTAAAATGGCTTTCATAATGTAAACTGTTAAATAGTATATTTATACTTTTAGCTGTATATCTAGCTAAATGACTTATCTTACAAAATTGTTATGCACAGCACTTTATTGATAATTACTGTAATTACTAGTGGATAACTACTTATATAAGTTTTCTTTAATTTTGTATTTACTGTAATATGGATTGAAGTGTGAATGTTTCTTACTAAAGAACTTAGGTTAATGCAGAACAGTACTGTAATGGGTTTTGTTTCATAGTTATTTAGTCTCTTCATCCATTTGAGCAGTGCAGTAGAGCAGTGGACAGTTCACCTAACTACTAGTACTGCTGCTTTCTTTTTTAGCTGATATTATGATGCATGGTACTTATTATGGTGTGTGGCATTCATATCTTCCTATCAACACTTGGAGTTAAATATTTGAACTTTCTTTCAATCATTAATGTCTCGTGGATATTGTCCCGTAGATGTAGTCTTTCTTTGACTTGTTGAATTGATGTTGAAACACTACTTCACCTTTTTCCATATATTATATTTTATCTCTTCAGCTTCAGGGAGGCATTTTCAGTAAGTGATACATCTTTACTTGGTAAAATGAGAAGAGGTTACATAACAGTTCTGTATAGCAAACATTCAGAACATGGATAACAAATAGTATAACCAGTATTGTGTGTCTATGTGTGTGTGTGTGTGTGTGTGTGTGTGTGTGTGTGTATATGTATGTATGTTTGTTTGTATGTATGTATGTATGTATGTATGTAATGTATGTATGCTGTTTTGGTAGTCCTCTGTTGCCCCGAGGTTTCACGGCAACTACTGGTTGCCAGTTTGCCTGCTAACACAATTTTTACCGGCTTAGCTAGCCCCAGTGCCTTGGCTTCCTGTAGGACTAACATACCCTGCGGGCCCTGGAAAACCCCATTGGGCTCAGGAGTACCAATGGGTGTACCAAGTACCATGGATGCATTTTCTGAGCCCTGTCTCACCTTGTGCAATGCTGAAGGTTGTTCGTTGCCCCTGCCTCACGGTGACGGTCACCTGTCCTGCCTCCATTATGCTGCCTATTGGGTCAGTAACACCTATGCCCCTGAGTCTTGGGGAATTTGTTCCTGGCTTGTCATTCAGTTTACCCATTCCTTGTCTGAGGATGTTAGGGGTCAGGCAGCAGCTGTGTTGCATGCTAGGTTCTCTTTGTTGTAACAAGCCAGGATGGTTGTCCGGTTGAAAGCCCCGCTTGGGTTTCAGGGACCAGGATTTAGGAGACGTTGGTTCTTTCAACTGTGGTTCAGTCTTGCTTCCTTCCCAGGTGGGTGTGGTTTTCCCTGCTCCTTTCTCCCCTCTTTTTCCCCGGCTGCCCACTCCCAAATGTCTGAGGGTTTCAGAGTCAGGGCGGCAATGAGGCTCGGGTGGCTTCGAGGATTGCCCCTTCAGATTCGTGGATGGAGGTTGTTGAGCCCCATCGGTCCTTTCGGGGTGGTCGTGCCAATTATTGGATTTTGGTAGGTCAAGGTGGGCCTCTGGTGTCAGTTTCGGAGCTGGTGTGTCCTCCAGGGCCTTCTTCATCTGGTTGGCATGGTGGTCGCTCTGTGCGGAAGTTTGCTTCTCAGAGGTCGCGTCAGCCCTTTCATGGATCTCCCCGTTGATGGGGCAATGAAGGGATAGCTGGCTCTGTTTACCCACACTTTGTCCCTTGATTAGTTGGCTTTTTGGGTCGTCTCTTCCGGCCTTTGGTGGTGTTGGATAGCTCCTCCTCCTGTCTGGGGTTCAGGGCTGGTAGGGCAGGCTTCTTCCCCATCTCTCTGTCAGGTCATCTTGGAGTGGGTTTGCTTGGGCATGGTCAAAATGACTTCATCCCTCAAGTGGGTTTCCCGTTTGTTTCCGGTTCCGAAATGGAACTGTGTGGATCTTCGGTTCATTCTGGACTTGTCCCGTCTGAACCGTTTGATTCCATGCCCCTCCTTTCAGATGACTATGCAGCCAGTCCTCCTAAAGGTTTCACAACGTCAAGAAGACGGTCCGTTCAGCTAGGGCTGCACGGATAAGCGGCGCGGTGGTGGAGTGTGATGTTTGCTTGTTTGCTTGTTTCCTTGGGATTGTAGGGAGTTCTGCCTCACTTTTCGGTTTTTAGTTGTAATTTTCTTACAATGTGGGGTTTGTTTTTGTTATGCTTACCTTTCTGGGTGCCTAACCCCAGTCAATGGCAGATAAGGAAAACCCCAACCACAGGGGTTAGGGGTTTCCAGGGCCATTGCTCCTTGCACCTCTCTGAGGGGGCCAGGTTCTGGCTCATGGTCTCCGGTAGGCTGAACTCCTTAGAATAATGCCCCGGTCTAATGTATCACATAATAACCCGATAGCACCGGGGCCTCTGGAGCTCCTCCGGGGCTCACCCAGAAAATGGCATTTCATTACATTCAACGCTGGTTTTTGGCTATACAGTATGTTGTACGTGGGTGCTGAAGTTGAGTCTCTTCTCTATGTATAGGCCAAGGAACTTCCCCCTCATATTTATTGCTAATGTTAACATTGTCCATCTGAAGTTAAATTTGATTCGATGATTTACTACCAAATAAAATATTTCTTAGTGACTCAGATTTGAATTTCCATAGGTATGTTTGAGACATAGGGTTTCAAGTCCACGCCCTCTTAAGAGATTTGGTGTGAGTACTTTTTCTTTTACCTTTGCAGCTGATTCAAAATTGTTTAATAATTGCAATTGCATTTGCAGTATTTTGTTCTGTTATTCTGAAATTATCTCAAACTTTTCTTATTTTATATGCTTCTTTGGCAGCCTGTTTCTTATCTTATGCACTTCACTTTTAAAATTAAGACAACTTACCTAATTTTGCCCTGCCTGTACCAATTTTTCCTAATCCATATTTGTTCTGATCTTTTGTGTATAATGCAAGAAAAAGTGGAAGCTCTGCACATCTTGACTGGCTCTTGAAGCATTGAATTTTTACATTTTGATATATATATATATATATATATATATATATATATATATATATATATATATATATATATATATATATATATATATATATATATATATATATATATATACACATATATATATATATATATATATATATATATATATATATATATATATATATATATATATATATATATACACACACACACACACACACATGCACATACACAATGTGTCCTCGCTTTAAAAAACTATATCTATATGGGGCAAGGCTGATTCGCTCCACCCCGTAATTCGCTCTACAAGTCTGCCCTAGGCTGTCCCTCCCCTCCATGTGAAAAGAACAGATCCTTCATCCACAATAATCAGAAAACCTATTTTTTATGTATTTATTATTTTAACACTTGAATTTACGCAAAGTGTTTGTTAGGTTAAAACTACTAATGGGTGCTCAATTTATATATATATCTTCATTTGAAGCAATAATACAAAATTTTTTTGTTGATACAGAGAACTTGCATGGAAATGTCAAATTTGCAACTGACCACATAAAAGCAAAGATGTTTCTAAATTTTGACCTGCACAGATGAGATTACATTTCAGTGACTCACACGACTCAGAACCAGGAATCTAGTGTGCTGTATTACATACATATATAGTATATGTATGTAAAAGATGTATCAAAAGCATTTAAACATTTTTAGTGAAGAATTACACTTAATTGTAAAGTTAGAACTCTACTTGTTCCTTGTTGCTTTCAGCTTTATGTAGTGTAGGATTTAATACATGAAAAATATTCTGAGCCACTTTAGATATTGAATGAGTATTGTATATGGTATTGCAAATTTCAGGTAATGCTTATTTGTATGGTATTATAATTTTTGTATAAGTGAAAAGTTAGCAAATCCAATCATTTCCATTGTTCTTAGGCTAGCATGAGTCGCAGTCATCCTTGTATTGAAGACGGCTTTTCTGGTGAAGGAGGTAGTGTCCCATCTCAGCCTGCTGTACTCTCTTCTTCAAGTGGGCCTTCAAGCAACCCATCTGCTGTGGGTCCTTCCCTGTGTGCCATGTGCCATGTACCTTATTCTGAAACTTCACTGCCATTTCGTGTCAAAATTTCAAAATGTGCTGTTTGCAGGTAAGTACTGTACAGTACATGTATTTTAATTGATATACTGTAGTGAAGTGAATCATATATGATGGCTAGAATGTTCATTCTTATTACTGTGTGATGTGTGCCATATACTGTACAGTGACACCTTGACTTACGAATGCCCCTATTTACGAACTTTGCTAACCCAATTTCTTCGGAAATTTTGAATCGGGTTACAAACTTTGCCTCGGGAAACGAGTTTGTTGATACGCGTATGGGCCGACCTAACATGTGGTGGCACGGCAATCGCACCTCAGTTTATCAGTGGCTCCCGCCTAGTGACAATTGCGCCCGAATTCTTTGTAAAGAATTTAAGTGTTTTTGGATTTTTGGATATTTGAACATAAAAGTAATTGTTATATATCTTGCCATGGGTCCCAAGAAAGTCAGTGGTAAGGTTCAACCTAAGAAAATAGTTGTGAATAGAGGCAGTAGAGGATGTTCCTTCCTTATTAAGAAAATGTGTGCATTATGGGAATAACTGCAACATTTTTCTGAAAAAACTCACCCAGATAAAGCTGTAGCAGGCCATTGCATTGACCTTTCAAATGACAATGTGATTTCATTACTGTAATTGGCATATTTTCGTTTTAAAAAGTCGTAATATGAAAATGAAAATAGGTGCAGAGAGTCAGAATTCGGCTCATAAATCACGCTCAGGAGTCAAATTTCCGACATTTCAGATATTTTGAAAACTGCAGGGGGGTTTGGGCGAAATATGACCCATCACCGTTTTCATTAATTGGCATATTTTCGGTATAAAAAGTCGTAATTTGAAAATGAAAATAGGTGCAGAGAGTCAGAATTCGGCTCATAAATCACGCTCAGGAGTCAAATTTCCGACATTTTAGATATTTTGAAAACTGGGGGGGGGGGGTTGGGCAAAATATGATCCATCGCCGTTTTCAGCAATTGTCATATTTTTGGTATAAAGAGCTGTAGTTTGAAATTGAAAATAGGTGCAGAGAGTCAGAATTCGGCTAAAAAATCACGCTCAGGAGTCAAATTTCCGACATTTCAGATATTTTGAAAACTGCAGGGGGGTTTGGGCAAAATATGACCCATCGCCGTTTTCATTAATTGGCATATTTTCGGTATAAAAAGTCGTAATATGAAAATGAAAATAGGTGCAGAGAGTCAGAATTCGGCTCATAAATCACGCTCAGGAGTCAAATTTCCGACATTTCAGATATTTTGAAAACTGCAGGGGGGTTTGGCCAAAATATGACCCATTGCTGTTTTCAGTAATTGGCATATTTTTGGTATAAAAAGTCATAATTTGAAATTTAAAATAGGTGCAGAGAGTCAGAATTCGGCTCAAAAATCACACTCAGGAGTCAAATTTTTGACATTTCCGATATTTTGAAAACTGCAGGGGGGTTTGGGCAAAATATGACCAATCTCCATTTTAAGTAATTGGCATATTTTTGGTATAAAAAGTCGTAATATGAAAATGAAAATAAGTGCAGAGAGTCAGAATTCGGCTCATAAATGACGCTCAGGAGTCAAATTTCCGACATTTCAGATATTTTGAAAATTGCAGGGGGGTTTGGACAAAATATGACCCATCGCAGTTTTCAGTAATTGGCATATTTTCTGTATAAAAAGTTGTAATTTGAAAATGAAAATTGGTGCAGAGAGTCAGGATTTGGCTGAAAAATCATGCTCAGGAGTCAAATTTCCAACATTTGAGATATTTTGAAAACTGCAGGGGGGTTTGGGCAAAATATGACCCTTCGCCGTTTTAAGTAATTGGCATATTTTCGGTATAAAAATTCCTATTTTGAAAATGAAAATAGGTGCAGAGAGTCAGAATTCGGCTCAAAAATCATGCTCAGGAGTCAAATTTCAGACATTTCAGATATTTTAAAAATTGCAGGGATGGTTTGGGCAAAATATGACCCATCGCTGTTAGTAAGACAAGTGTTAAAATGTAGGGAAAACAAGTGTCTTTAGACAGATCCTTAGTAAGACAAGCGAGCAGTGAGCCACAAGCAGGTCCTAGTGGTATGCAGACAAAATGTGCCAGAGAGTGTACCCCAGAGAAGTCTTCACTGCCTGATGTTATAATGGAAGGGGGCTCCCCTTCCAAACACTAACACCTCTCCTTCTTGCCCCTCCAACCCGTTTTCCATACCCCAACAAGAGTCATCAGTGAAGGTAAGTAATAACTTGTACATACTTACGTACTGAAGATTTGGGTGAATTAGGTATAAAATTTATTTTAAAGTTAATTTTTGGGGAGTCTAGAATGGATTAATTCAATTTCCTTTATTTCTAATGGGGAAATTTGCTTCAGTTTACACATTTTTGGCTTATGAACTATCTCTGGGAACAGATTAAATTCATAAGCTGAGGTACACTGTACTTCCATTTAATACCAAAATTTCAAAATGTTCAATTTGTTGGTAAGTAACTGTATTTAGATTAACTCTGTAATGAAGTAATTATCAATTAGAGAGTTTCTTCATTCATCAAAGCAAATTATATTTGCAAGCCAGCATTTTCATTGTTATTTCTGTGGGGAGCCTCACCGGCTCCCTGAAGCTATCCGAAATGATGTGTGCTATGTAATTGGTGTTATCAGTCACAGGAGTCCTTATGCCTACTATGGAAGTCAGGCAACTTTTGTCACCTGCATTCTGGGGAAGGTTAGTCATTGGCCTAGTGGGACCTCAGTAAGTCTAAACTGCATTTTGGTCCCAACATGAACAATCAAGAAACCATATACAGTACAGTACAGGGAATCTTTATTATTCTATAACTTGTTATTGACAAGTAATCAGATTGAACAGCTGGGTATGGGCAGAAAAAATAATTTATTGGCGGTAGAGAATATTATTGTTGGTGATCATTACAAAATAGTATTACTATACACTGTATTATGCTCATTGTGTTGGTAGGTGCAGAAATATATTTAATGAATTATTTATTATCAAGTATGAAGCACTTGTATTTTTTCTGATTATATTATACAGAAAGGGAAAGGTGCCAGATGTTCTCTTCACCACTCTAGAGCCACCTGTGGGGGTTCCGATTACAGGTAAATGCATTTAAGTTTTTAGTTTGCCTTCACCTTGCAGTACAGCAAGCCATTTGTACATGTATATGTGTGTATATAGAATATAGACTGTGTGTGAGTAAAGGACAGAGAATCTTGACAGTAACAAGAGAAGGGAGTAAGGAAGGACACAACAGTGAGAGTAATGACAGTAAGGATGATGCGAGTCCTCAGACAGGAGAGAAGATTGTGACATCATATACGTCCTTCCCAAACGAAAGTGTTAACTGATGACAAATTATTAATTTTCCTTCATATTCTGCAGCTTGTGTTTAAATTTCTTTGTCATTGCAGGAAGAGGCTGTTTAATTCAGGCAAGGGTGGCTAGATCCAAACGAGATTTGAAGGGTGAACTTAATGCTAAAGAAATATCAGATTCCCTCCCATTTTTGGAATATGAACTGCACAAGCAGCTCATTAATAAAATGAAGGTAAAGGACCTTGAATAATTTTATTTAATTTTATACTTTAAACATATTTACATATATTAAACTACTATTATTTCAGCGATTGTTAGCACATTTTATATATAATATTGAAGACTTATTCAAGTGATATTAAATTATAGGGTCTGAATTTTTAAATGAAACACATTGCACAAAAGAATGTAATGTCATGTGTAGATAAACACATTTATATTGCTACATTTAATTTGTATTGTTTACATTAAATATTGCAAATGTATTTTCCAGATAAAGGGAATGAATGCACTATTTGGTCTGCGAGTGCGGGTGACAGTTGGGGAGCGTCTCATTGTGGGTGTAGCCACAGCAACAGCTGTGTTTCTCTCTGCTCTTCAGCCACCACCAGTTCCAAGAGTGACTTCTGCTAGTTGTGGCCGAGACGATGAAAGATATAGAGCCGAAGTTCAGAAGCTCCTCCTCACTACCATTGCCCGGAACAAGGAATACTTTGGAACTAAACATGTCATCTCGGTAAGAAAAGGCCATGTCATGGTATATTGGTCAAAGGCATTTGGGAGTACCTAGAGCATAGGCTCGAGTCCCCAAGGCTCCTACTGATTTTCTCATTGATAAATCATGTTGTTGTGATTTCTTTGTGTATGTTATCTCGGTAACTAATTTATAATTTTTAAATAATACATTTCTTATACAAAATGATTTATCCTTTTTAAAATGGCCAGACAAGATAATATATTACATTATATTTCTGAACTAAGGCCCCTCCAATACTCCCCGAGTCAGAGTCCATCCACCCAAGATTCATATCAACAGCCAAGCTATTGTTAACTTTTATCCCCACCTTGATAAAGAATTTTGCAAATAGTCTTGTCACTTATTTAGGGAAGGAATACAAAGGTGACTAACTCTAGTCATGGGGGAGGGACCCACTCTCTGTATGACAAGAGGAGGAGGAATACTTTACACAACCCCTGCTAGCAATAATTAGTCACAAGCAAGTTCAATTATTGCTTTTCTAACTACCAGTTAAGAATCAAAGGTAACTCAACTGCTACCAAGTGACACATCCATTACTACAATGCTGTTGGCAGAGCCAGTAACCTCCATTTTGTGCCTGGCATCCACCCCATCAATAACATAGGTTCTGCGGTGGTCAATAAGTTTTCTGACTAATTTTTACTGGAGATTGTTGTCAGTGCTGGGGTACTATACTTCAGGGTCAGCTTCATGGCATATATACTGGTCATGGGTGTGCCACTGACTGTTGCTATCTGCTATGGTTCAACCCAAGAGATATCTTTTTCTGAAGCTTTAATTTTGCATTCAGTATGATTTAGTTCCTCTCATGTACCACTGTTTTGACACTGCTTTTATGACTTTGATGTTGGGGTTTTATTTACCACCAGTTAAGAGATGTTCATGTTCTCTACTCTGCGTGATACAGTAGCAGCCTTGCCCACTCTACTACACCCAGGTTTTTGCTTAACGATGTAGTGGGTTTATTTACATTTTCTTTTCCTCTAGCCTGGGGCTGCACTAGTTTTTCCTCTTGTTATATAAGGTTTGCTTATTATACATTGAGTGCATACCCCTTGTGACTTGACTTCCTCTCTGGTGACCTTTCTTGGGGGTGCGTCATGTTTCTTTTTAAGTTGTAATGTAGCTAGAGTGTGTGTGGCAGTGTTGATTCAATATCTTCAGTAGGGGCAGTAGCTTGTATAGAGGTCACAGGTGCTGGGATTTCCCTGGGCCAAATGCCTCAACTGCAAGACAGCTATACAAAGGCTCTCTGCAGTCTCACACTCTCTGCAATCTCTAAAGCTTGAGACTATTAAATTTGGGAAGTCTAAACAGGTTTTCTAAAAGTCTTACCTCTCCATTGCAACTCTTCCCCTGTCATAAGTTACCTAAAAATACCAAGGGTGGATTGATGTTTTCCTCTGGAAAGAAAATTGGTAGTTCCCTCAGAAAGGGTGCTTAAATTGAGACATTCTCTGCAATCTATAAGGAGGAAATGTTTTTGGCTATGTACTAACTGAGAGGAGTTCCAGATTCTTTTGGAGGGATTTTTCAAAGTTTGTGTGCACCAGGGGAAGACATTGATGGATCAAAGTTTTCCACATTAAGTTATTCATATTTGTATATTTAGTTGTGCTTTATTTCATTGTATTTACAATGTAATGATCCTGCCATTGGAAATACAATATCTCACAATCAATCAAAATTCATTAACTAATTTAATATTAATTGTTTTTATAGTTTTAAAAATTTAAGGTTTTCAAGACTTATGAAAATATATTATTCATTTTCTATTTCTCACACTTAGTCTGGGTTTAAAACTATTCAAACAAGCACCTTAAATTTGTATTTAATATTTGCAATGATCTTATCATCCAGGAAATATTGGTGGATGAAATGAATGGTGGCCGGGAGTCAGATACAGAAGATTCAGAAGACGATCTTCCAGAGATTGATTTGTCATCAGGCAATAAGGATACCTCAGTTTTAGAAGTAGGTAAAAATGCTTTTAAATTTGAAATATGCCAATAATTTTTACATTTCCTAGCAAGCACAGTAGTTATAAACAACTTGAGAAATTATGGCATAAATACTGTACAGAGTAATTTCTGTGGGGAGCCCCATCAGTTCCCAGAAGCTGATGGGATATATATATATATATATATATATATATATATATATATATATATATATATATATATATATATATATATATATATATATATATATATATATATATATATATATATATATATATATATATATATATATATATATATATATATATATATATATATATATATATATATATATCAATCTATGGGTTACATAGTACATATCTAAACTAATATGTGCTGTATTAGCTTTGGGTCATCGGTCACAGGAGTCATTTTGCCTACCGGGAACCACAAGCCAAAACATGGGCCCCCCCAAGAAAGGTGCAATAGCTTATGAGCACTTTACAATTAAAGTACGTCATAGTTGCTGTCGACCTGGGAAGCACCCAGGAAGGTAGGCGAAACAAAACAGACCACAATCTGGTGAAACTGTGACCTACGTCCAAAAAGGGCAAAAAAACTCCCCAGGGAAAAAACAAACAAGCAACACTTCCTCCAACTAGCACTCATGCTCGTTAGCATCCTCCCCTCCCCCCCCCCCTCCCTCACAAAGGGGGATGGGGAGCTGGCAACCCACTACAGTATTTATAGAATAGACTGGTTTCCATGTTGCATTTATCCATTATCACTTTGTTTCTGTCATGATTGCAGGATAAAGTCTCTTAATATATTGGTGCTATTGCTTTCTTTTTGGTTCTCTGTCCCTCTTGCAATTTTTCCTGGACAAGTCTTACTGTCCAGTTTTGTGTTTTGGGATTAATTTTTTGTGCCTTTATTGGAAATTTCACAAGATGTTACATATCTCTGTGTCATTAAGACATTTAAGGATAATTATATTTAAGAATATTTCATAGTATTGTTTGTATTATTACTTGGTCAGGATTTGCATTTTTAAGAATATTTCAAGAACATTTTCTGTCTTGCAAGATATGCTTCACATGGAAGGGGACTAGGGATGCTTTCCTTGATCAGCTGCAATAACAGAAATATGTCTCTACCTAAAGTTACATTTCTCTCCAAAACTTAGTTGGATGACATGGAAGATGCAGAAATGATTGGCCTCCTTGTGGAGGGTTGTCCGCCTGCCCAGTTGATGGCAGTAACTACACAAGTGCCTCCTGGTGTCTCCCGAGAGAGAATAGTAAACAACCTCCAGATGTTCACCCGAGTGTGGAGAACGAAGGTGCCGGCTACTCTAAACCATAACGTCTTCAATCAGTATTTTGATAAACTTCTCCAGGTACAAATATTTTATTTTTGTAATTGATATAAAAAAAGATCACAGATTTGTGGATTTATGTCATTTATAGCCTGTAAAGTATGTTATTGTACTATATGGTACTGTTTAGTATACTATTGTATGGTACCATTCTGTATTGTACTGTACAGTACTGTTCTGTATGGTGCAATATGGTACTGAACAGTGCTGTACTGTATGGTACTGTTCAGTACTGTTCTGTATACTATTGTATGGTACTATTCTGTATTGTACTGTACAGTACTGTTCTGTATGGTGCAATATGGTACTGAACAGTGCTGTACTGTATGGTACTGTTCAGTACTGTTCTGTATACTATTGTATGGTACTATTCTGTATTGTACTGTACAGTACTGTTCTGTATGGTGCAATATGGTACTGAACAGTGCTGTACTGTATAGTACTGTTCTCTATGGTAATGTACAGTACTGTTATGTATGATGCCATACAGTACTGTTCTGTATCATACTGTACAGTACAATACTGTTATGTATGGTGCTGTACAATACTGTACTGTACAGTACACCTAATGCTCTATTCATCTAGCAGTATGTAGGGGTTGTTGTCGGGTTGCATCCTGTGAGGGGTCAGTAATTCCACCTGGGGGGGGGGGATCTCGATATAAGCCTAACATGTATGAATACACCCTGGCTTCCTGTCTCCCAACACAATGAATTAATGAATTATTATTATTAATTATATATACATATACACATACACATATACACACACACACCCTGTTTTTCCTATTCATTTATTTTACTCTCACCGGCAACAAATATCTACTTCCTTGTATCCACAGAATGCATTTTATGTATTTGTATTTTTACTATTTCATTTTATAAAAACTTTAATAATTTTCAGAGTGTATACTTCAAAGTTCGCAAATTGGCACCTTGTATTATTGCTGGATTACAAGTAAATGTAGAGTTACCAGAGGAAGATGAGCTGCAAATTAGTCTATTTGGAATGGTTCTTGGTCAAGGTTCTCCAGTCCATACGCAACTTCAAGCTTTCACATCTAATACCACAAGCCAAGTTGGTCAGTCTGACGTTCCTCTTAAGAAGGCAAAACAAGGTAAAGTGGTGTCCACTGTATCACTTTTCTCGTTCTTTTATATTAATTTCCTTATAGTCGTGAACAGTACTGTCCACACTGTGTGTGTCTTACTGACTTTGCAAGAGTGTCCCACTTAATCACTGAAATGTGTATGTTCACAACCCATTGTACATTCTTGTATATATATAAAGAAATAAAATCAAAGAAATATATCTAGTAGGCTTTTTGGGTACGTAAATTAATGTAATATACAGTAGTTTACACTTGACATGGACCATCTGTAAAGCTCTTATTTATGTCATCTTGATCATTTTCATTTACTGTATGTATCTTGTGTCATTTTTCCGTGTACAGGTATATATCTAATTTCATTCACAAAAATTACCCTCGTTTGCAGATGATGGTGAAATGATATTCAAAATGGAAGAATTAATTCCATTAGTTGAGGACAGTTCTAAAACAAAAATTGCACCGCCACAAGAACAGCAGCGGCAGCATCCTCCACAACCTATAGTTAAAAAACAGTCAGTTTTGTCAATGTCTTCAGTACAGTCAGTGCCATCAGTGCCGTCAGTGCCGTCAGTGCCCTCAACAGCCTCTATTAGTTCTTCTGCCTCATCTGCTAGATCTTCTACTAAATCGAGGAATGATCCAAAATACATTAACTACCATGTGAGTATTATTAGAGTATATTGTTTCTAACATTGCATCCAATCAGAATTTTAGGGCCTAACTAATGTTATAGGATGGCCAGATTGATGTCATGAAGTGGGCAGATTGATGTGTTAGCTATCTAGGTGGCTAGATAGATAACACATCTATCTATCTAGGTGGCTAGATAGATGCGGCAGTCAGTATATCATGGGGTTGCTTTTACTATTCAGTTAAATTTCCTGAAATTCTTAACATTTTGTAAGGTTTCATTACCATTCCTCAGCCTGTGAGCAGATGGCTTCAAATTTCCTAATTATAAACATTCTCTGTTTACTAGCTCATTCGGAGAGAAAGGTACGGTGTGGAAATCACTCCTCTCTCGTACATCCCTGGTGCTCGTATAGACTGCCACCTGGGAAACTTGAACTTCTTCTTTATCAGGGAATCTACTAGTATTAAAGAGGTGAGTTGTTAATGCACACTTGTTATAGTATTACCCTTAATTTATTGTAAAAATATTCTTAAGTTCATCAAATACTGTACTAATTTCACACATCCTTTTCTTGACCTTCCTCATAACTCCATCCATATATACATTGAACAACCCTGGGGGCATCAAACAGCCCAGACATACTACATTAATATAAAATCACTCAGTACACCATTAATTCCTAGAAAGTCACTGGAATCAATTTCTCACCAGAGGAATTGAGAGGACAAAAATTTTTAATTGGCAGAGTGGTGGTCTGAGTGGCTTCATGGGCAGCTTTGTGACCGAGGTACTGGCAATTGTGCGTGCTCACGTTGCGGCTCTGGGAGGAAACGCTATGATTGCTTACTTCATGTCCGAGTGTGTGCTCCTACATAACCCTTACAAAAATCAGGTAAATATTAAGATGTTTATTTAAATCCAATCCAACACATGTTAGATAATTACACTGTATATAAATAAGCTTATTCTCTCATTTGTGAATGTATTTATTTTAAATATATATATTTTTGAGCCTGCTCTTTTACCACTCTCTGAACAATCCAACCTCTTACAAATTACCTTATGTGGAATATAAGGTATAGGGTAAGCTGTTTACTATCTGTACAGTGTAAAGCCTTCTTCCCATTGCTGTTCTGTGCATGGATTTGTATCTTGCTTTTCTGAAGGACTAACTTTATCCTCAAAGAATGATGCTGCACGTTTCGTGTGTGCAGCAATACTGAGTGGTTTTTGACTGTTTTGCTGTTCTGTTTGTCAGCTCTTCATAACCCACCATCTGTTCACTGCTTCCAGGCGAATCCCCATGTGTTCTTCATTTTGTGATTCCATTTTCCCCTTCTGTATGAAAGTTTTACCTTGTATTTCTAGCCGTGTTAAATTTGGTAGGCCATAGTTCCCATCCTTCTCATTCCTTCTTATTTGCTACTTTTTGTGGGGTTTGGAAGTGCATGTTCATAGGTCTGATGAGTGTTGTTGATGAGGTACTGCCGTCTGTTGTGGTCAGGCAGGCAGTAGTCAGTGGGCTGGAAGACTTGTTCAGCAGTCTCATTTGATCACAGAGGAGAATTTCCACACAGCTTTTGAGTTTGAGGCATGTATCGTCTGTCACTCAATGTTGACTTGATTGAACTTATCTCCAGTGTTCCCTAAGCATCTTTGAAGACTGCATGGACCATTTGAAAAGTTTCTTGCGGTGCCAAGAATACCACCTACCAGATTGTCGTGATTGTTGTTCAGAGGACACAGTAGAATTAGGGGAGCAGCACACCGTCTTATGCTCAGAAAAGTGCTATTTGTGTTTACTTGAAGCTTTATTTTAATTTCAGGGTCAGTGTTTGATCAACGTTGGTGGTGATGTGGTACAAGTACAATACAATGCAGGTTCTTCACTGCATGATGGCTCTGCTGAAGAGTAGCAGATCTCCCATCTTTACTAGGTACAAATGTCTGTTTTAACGAACAACAAGAATTTCGTTTCACATATAATTTAATAAATTCAGTTACTGTTCAAAGATGGAAGATTTCTGAAGAGATATAAACACGAAAGAAATTTTCAGGTTTTAGCATGGTTGGAAGTATTTTTTAATTAATAATAAGAGTATGAATGATAATGACGACAATGCAACAGCTAACACTTAATGTATGGTGAATCCACTGTACAAATACAAAGCTACTCGGTCTTGTAGACCTTATTATTTTTAAACAGTGTCACTCACCATTGTGAACTTGAATTATTTGAGTGGGGTAATTGTGCCAAGAATGTGTACTAAACATTTTGTATTAACAAATGGTACATGAAGCTGTTACAAGCATTTTGTGTAAAATAAATATTGTGGAATTAGAAATTGCTGAGTTATTTACTATTGGTTAAATAACTAACAGATAAGAAAACATACAAAGTAAATCATTTGTTATGTGTACACATGTGAGTTACTGAAACTAATGACAATTATTATATTAAAGTACAATTGTCATGGAATTTATCAAAATTATTTGCTTTCACACATTGTTGTTTGTCCATCACTGGGTTATAACTGTATTGTGGCCTTCTGAACACACTATAAAAGTTATCTTCAAATTGATTAGAAATTGCTCATATAAATATTCTTTTGTGAAGTGATCCTGAAAATTAGTTTCCTCCCAAGAAATATAATTAGATTGAAAGTTGAATAATATTAAATTAGGAAAATACATTCATTGACTATCTTGAGCATACTTATCCATAAATACCCATAATTACACCTCTAAAAGATAGATTACTATTTTTCTTATCCATCCATTTCTTCGTGGATTTATCTTCATCTTTTTGCTTACTTTCATGAATATTGTAAATAATAACACCTTCCTTGTTGATTTGATTTCTTAATATATATTACAATTATTGAGACATGGGCATCCTTTCATATTTCACACACTGATATAACACCCTTACAGTCATCTTTATCAGCTTGCTATTAAGGTCAGTTTTGTTATCATCATTATTAATCTTACCCAGTTTCTACCTCCATGGGGTTCAGATTTGATTTCATATACTGTAGTTTACATTCTTCTAAAATCTTTTGCTATTTTCAGAGATACTTCTATTAACCCTTAAACTGCTCCGTCACTCATAAGCAATAAATGCCTGTGACAAAATGCCCTGTAAATACTAGGTGTGTCCTGTAACATTAAAAACCCAACAAATTCCTTGTGGATATCACTTGACACTAGAGACGTATAGCAATCATTTGTCATATTTGAAAACACCCTGAAAGCCTTGGTTTCCTTCCTGGGCCCTAGTAAAAAGATGGGCATCACCATCCATTGACTGATGTTCACGCTTCAAACCATTAATGCCATGCAAAATTGCAAGGAGTTTATGGGCCTGGAAGATCTTAGTAATTGGGACGAATCTATTACAAATAGTTAACTTGAAAATTATACATTCATAATATTGACATCATTAACGTGTCTTCTCTTCACTATGGCCAAACTAAAATTATTTTTTTGTTTTGTTGGGTATATGCACCAGGATAACCACCTAATTTTAAAGGGTTAACTATTTAGAGAAGTACAGCTCTGCCTTCAGCTATACATTTACTACCTCTCCCTCCTTACCTTCTCTATTAACTATTCATACTAGTATACTTTCCTTCCCCTCCAGTAATTTCCTTCCCCCCCAAAAAAATAGTTGACTAAACTGACTAAAACTTTATTAAAAATGTTCTGTATGGGAAGGGGCCCAGTCTTAAGGCCTATACCAGACAGTTCTTATGGACAGTGCTGAAATGGGTGCAGAAGCATTTAAGACAAAAGGAATGAAGCTTAAGGCTACACGAAACCGAGCCAGAGAAGGGAACTCCGAGAGCCATCAACAAGCCTCACCAGATGAGGGAACTCAGAAACAGAGCTGAAGCAGAATATATTGTCTAGTGATACAGCCACAATAAAATTAACTTAATTGGTCTCTGCAGAACAGCACATCTAATGGATGGATGCCAGGCACCAAGTGAGCTTGCTGGGTCATCTGACTGTTTACAAGAGATTAGTGTGCTGCCATCTAATGCTGGTCAGGACCAGTTGCTAGAGGTACTACAGTAGTTTCAGAGCAATAATTTTCTTTCTGGGTTCAAGGTTTTATTTGTAGTAGCAATGAGAAAGAGTTGTTTTTCCTGCTTTGTATCATAGTAGAACTTCCTGTGTGTTTTTCTAGTAGATAGGGCTTTCTCCACTCTCTTTCTTCCTCATTTTACATTGTAGAATGATAAGAAAAGATACTGTTATGGTGAGAAAGCAGTTAATCCTTAATCAAGGATTAACAGAGGGGAGCTAGGTAAAAAAAAAACATTAATGATTCACTGAATAATGAGTAATATGATTTATGAATGCCTTGGACCTCGAGATGTTCACATATGGTAATATAAACATATGATCTATTGGTCCTCTAGGTATCATCATTATTACCTTGCTCATCATTTTCATATCTCATCTTCATTTTCACATTTGACAAAAATAGAACAATGAAGTGAACAAAAGATAGTGAGAGATCACTCATGCATTCATCGTATCTTCCATATCATAACACTTCAGGAAAACTTGCACAGCAGAGCACCCATCCAAAATGTGACTAGATGTAGAATGCTTCATGTAATTTTTTATTTAAAAATAAATTAAACAATCACTCTTCAGCTGATTCCACCTAGACATATTTGAACCACTTCTTGTGTAATTTTCACACTTAATTCTCACATCCTTACACAAACACAATCCCCATGTCTCTCAATTTTGTTGGTTTCCTCTCCTCCTCTTACACTTAAATTCATTGGAATACACATTTTTCACGACATTCTTTCATTATGACAAAACCATTTGAGTATACCAAGAATTCCACCAGAATTCCTTATTCTGGACAACATAAACTGTATAAGAAATTGGATTGCTTTCATTCACTATTTCAAAGTATACTGAATGTTTTTTTGAGTTTAGAATTCATATAATGTAGGAATTCATTAACAAGACTTACATCATTAAATAATACAAATGCATTAATTGAGAAATGGCAGTGCATAAAGTATTATGTAAGTACTGATGCTATTGTACGTGCACACAAAGTATGTAATTACCTAAGTGTAGTTACAGGATGAGAGCTACACTCGTGGTGTCCCGTCTTCCCAACACTCTTTGTCATATAACGCTTTGAAACTACTGACGGTCTTGGCCTCCACCACCTTCTCACCTAACTTGTTTCAACCGTCTACCACTCTGTTTGTGAAAGTGAATTTTCTTTTATTTCTTCGGCATCTGTGTTTAGCTAGTTTAAATCTATGACCTCTTGTTCTTGAAGTTCCAGGTCTCAGGAAATCTTCCTTATCGATTTTATCAATTCCTGTTACTATTTTGTACGTAGTGATCATATCACCTCTTTTTCTTCTGTCTTCTAGTTTTGGCATATTTAATGCCTCTAACCTCTCCTCATAGCTCTTGCCCTTCAGTTCTGGGAGCCACTTAGTAGCATGTCTTTGCACCTTTTCCAGTTTGTTGATGTGCTTCTTAAGATATGGGCACCACACAACCACTGCATATTCTAGCTTTGGCCTAACAAAAGTTGTGAACAATTGTGCACGTATAGGTGCACAATGACCCCATTGTCGTTGTTGCACCTATTAACCCCAACTATCAGTCATTATTTGTAAATGCACGCACAGTCAAGCGTAAGGAAACAATACAGTTATAACCTTCAGAGGTCACCAATCGTTTGATAAGATAAATAATTCAAGACTGTGATATTTCCACTAGAATTTAATTATATTCTGGTCACCTGTTAATAGATGTATACAGTATTTTTATTTTTTTGTTAGTGTATTTTCTGCACAAGAGGATTCACCAGCAGAGATTGTTGTACATGTTAGTTTGTCCATTTTGAAATTATAAATTGACATAAGTTTACCTGATATTGTGCCTATGATGTAGTTTCCATATAAAAGTGGTACTGGTATGTGAGATTATATGTTGATCTGAATGAGTAATACAGTAATTTACTCTTGCAAATATTTACATTTATTGTAACTTTTTAATGATATGCAATATTTCCTTCTGTAATATATAAATAATTAATTTTATCCATTTTCTTTGCATAATATTTCTTAGTAATAAATAATTTATATGTAATGTAATTTTTATCAATTATTGATGTGTATAAAGGGTTTCCTTTGACTTGTGAAACTGTTGAGTGTGTTTACATTTCACAACCTGACAAGGATTATCAATAATGGTTAAATTTTGATCTGGCGCCTGTCGGTGCTCATAACCCACATTACATTATCTATTACAGTTCATACTACAGTTCATCAACTGCCTCTAAGCCCGGTGGCACAGACAAAGTAGGCGTTGTTCATTGTTTTGTGACAATAAAATTAACTCTTGGTTTTCTCTATATTAAAGTTGTACCATCCACATAAATCAGCACAGTTGGGTGTTTCTGGTAAGGAAATCGTGGATTAGGCCATATATACTGTATATATACAGTAGTGCAACTGTAAGGACGGGTGGGCAAGTATTGGTTATATAACAAAGATAGGCAAGCCAAACATACTGATTGGGACCTGGTCTTTGGTGAATAATTCAAATGCAACAGGAATTAAATGCAATATTATGGAATCTTGTTGCTTCAGATATGACACGAGTGTTTACTGACCCCATACATAAGCAGTACCTTTTCCCTTGACTTGATTCATGCATTACATGATATATTCCATTATTTGCTCACCTGGTTACCCCCTCTCTCTCTGGGGCATATATGTTCATAACTCATTGTAACCCTTACATAAAGGGTTTTGTTTCATGTGGATATAAATGATCTCACGTTTGTTAATTTTATTTGTTCTGTGGTTTACATGTATTGTATATTACATGACATGATTGTCTGTGTTTTTTGCATATAGTATTTATTTATTTATTTATTTATTTATTTATTTATATTTTATACATTCTCAAAACCCTAACCTTCAAGACTTTGATTTAAGTAAAAATGAGTTATTCACATTTGCATAAGGCAAAGAAACCCTGTATACATTGATCTTCAATCTGGATAATATTCTTGGGACACTGTGATGTGCAGAATAGGAATATTTTCAATTGCTCTAGTGCTAGTTGACTTTGAATTAGTTACACCCATATCTCCTATGTCTCTCTCTCTCTCTCAATGGGAAATATGGAAATCATTCATGATGAAGCCAGAACAAGGCATTGAAAATAACAATTTATAGTTTTAAATTATTATATTCAAAGAATGACATTATTGTCAGTTGTTTATATTTGGTAGCAATGAGCACAAGAAGTTCAGGAGTTTCAAGTCATGTAAAATCCTCTTAAATGTCTGATTTATCACCAATCGGTATCACTTCCAGACATTTACAAAAGTTTTTTGTAAGTGCAACTAGCCTTTCTAGACTAATGTCCTTTATATTAGCAGTAAATCCTCAGCGACATGTGGGTTATTCCTGTACATACTATCCTCGAAGAATCCTCATAAAAACTATTACTATATACTCAAATGTGGAGTGCCATATAGTGGTGAAAACAATACACTTTGAACAAGCATGATACCAATTTGTGGTGGTCTTATGATGAACAGCAGTAAACTCAAAACCCCTTACATGTTATGTATTGCCAAACCATTATTCTCTTAAGTAATGTAGTTAAATAAATGTAAGTAATAAAATCTTGAGTGCCTTGTTTCAATTAAGTGTTAAAAAAACCTTCACCAAATGTTTAAGTTATCGATATTAGACAATCGCAACAGAAAGATTCAAACGAAAAGAAACTCAGCGTCCAACTCTGACCATCTTGAGGTTATCTTGAGATGATTTTGGGGCTTTTTAGTGTCCCCGTGGCCCGGTCTTTGACCAGGCCTCCACCCCCAGGTAGCAGCCCGTGACAGCTGACTAACACCCAGGAACCTATTTTACTGCTAGGTAACAGGGGGATAGGGTGAAAGAAACTCTGCCCATTGTTTCTCGCCGGCGCCTGGGATCAAACCCAGGACCACAGGATCACAAGTCCAGCGTGCTGTCCGCTCGGCCGACCGGCTCCATACTGTAGCATGGTGCTAACTTTGTCCACGTCCATCATTACTGTGCTTGGACCTCAAAGTTCTGGCCTCAGTGACTCTTTCTGAATTAAACACTTACCGTGTAAGATTAGTTTGTGTCATTCCCTTCAAAGTTTAGGCCACTACCTTGTGTCATGTGTATCTGTCATTGTTATTACTTTATTAGTTGTTACTTTTGCATTGTCATAATGTACTTATTTCTACAGATGGTACAGAATGTCTGCCTTAATTTATATACAATTTACACAGTATTTGAATTATACTTTTTATGTTAATTTTACTGTGGTTGCCTCATTAATATGCATTATAGTTCCTTATGTATAATGTTTAATAATAAATTGTCATTACACTCCACTTAAGATCCATCTCTTAACTTTATATGATATCACAGCAAGTTCAAATAATTATTTAGTATAGTCTCGTATTATAGTAATCTAAATTATATCTTTAGTGTAGTCATTTAAACCAACCACTGCATTCTTGTATTAAACCAACCACTGCATTCTTGTATTAAACCAACCACTGCATTCTTGTGATCATCAAGTTAGTTTAGAGGAAGTATTCATGTAAAATTTTTACCTAAATGAAATATTGTAGTTTAATACACAGTGCAGATATTTCTTAACGTATGCATGTATCATTTGACTAACTTATAATTAAGAATAATCTCAAGAATTGATGCTTGATGAAGTATTACTATACGACCCATTACGGGCTCACCATAGCCCGTGCTACATGGACACTTCATTCTGAGTAGTTAAATCTAAAACAACATATACAACCCTGTTCTCCAGGTTCCAGGTGACTTTCTCTTCTTGTGCTTTATCTACCTTTCCCCTTTAATAAAAGTATATTTAGGCTTCCACCTAGGCCAACAACCTTCCCTAGGATGCCACCCACAACCCTTGCCTGACTCTCAGATACTTATTTACTGCTAGGTGAACAGCAGCATCAGATGTAAGGAAAAAGGCCCAAACATGTTCTGTCTCCTCTGCCTGGGGACAGAAAATTTGCTTTTGTGCTTTTTATTGTACAGTACAGTAGTCATATTTTATAGATTGGGAGAATACCTTTTTTTTTTCGTAGCAGTGTGTTGCTTATTATTTTCAGTATGTTATCTTTAGGAATTTAAAGTTTCTTTTTGGGGAATTTGTAATGTATGGGTTGGATAGTATATTGTATACATTACTTTTTATAAAATAACAATATAGGGTTTTGGGTACGTACTAAGTATTATAAGTTTATGAATTGTTAAAAGGTATGGTTTGAGTAGGCTTCCGTGTGAATTTGCAGGCTGATGTAAATTACCCAATAATATGCAACCAAAAATTTGTAAAATAAAATCAGGTCTAAATTTTAGGTCAAATAATGACCATACCAGATTACTGTATTTGTTTGACTAGTTTCAGAGATATTAGTTAAACAACATCTGTTTATCCATACACATGTGAATATGTACATAACACATGAACACATAATCTATTGACAATGTCAGTCTCTCTCTCTCTGTTTCTCTCTCTCTCTCTCTCTCTCTCTCTCTCTCTCTCTCTCTCTCTCTCTCTCTCTCTCTCTCTCTCTCTCTCTCTCTCTCTCTCTCTCTTTCTCTTTCTCTTTCTCGCTTTCTCTCTCTCTCTCTGGAAATAGAGCTGGTTAAAAATAAAAGAAATTTCTATTTTGTGAACAGAGCTACAGACAGTTAAGACAATTTGATTGAGAAGGTGATGGATGCCAAAACCATCAGTAGTTTCAAAGTGTCATATGACAAAGATATAGAGACGGTGGGACACCGTGATCACAACTTTCATCCTGTAACTACACTTGTGTAATTACTGTACGCTTGTTCGGTACTGCTTGTGTACGCGCCTTCATACTGCCACCACAACATTTCTCTTACACTACTAATCCACTCATTTATTATGAACCCGGTTTGGTGCCTTCTTTTGATGATTAGTTATTTATTATGTAATCTAAAATATATTCTCACTGTGTAATCATATTCATCAAAAATTGAATAATAAAGATATTGTTAGTAATGAACAAAACATTGAAATAAATATTCCAGTATTCAATTGACTAAAAGGGATTATAGATTATAAACTATGTAAGGCTGTGTGCTTGTCTCTTGTTGTTTACAACGATGGTCATCAGTTCTGATTCACTAGAATCATTCTCTATCTTGTCTCACAGCTCACAACCATGTTTTAATATGCAGTTTTATTACATTAGTTAATATGTAATCAATACAAATGCCATTAGAGCAGTCTTAGGTAAATTGATAAAATCTGAAAGTGATATAAGGTGAGAAGTGGTAAGCAGTAGTGAGGACTGAAGATATGGAAGTTGTCCAATGTAAAATTAATTGGCCTGAGGAGTGTTGATGGATTTTGATTTGCAAGAGACTTACTTTTGTGTAAAAACTGCATGTCAAACTTTATGAGGAAGAAAGTTAGGTTCCAGAGACCTCCTAAAGTACAATATTTCCACTTGGACAAAGTGTGGTAGTGTGGTAGACACATGGATTACCACAGATTACCTGTACACATCAAAATTTGGTATAAAAGTGCATTCTTACATTACTACAGATCCACATTATCCAAAAACTTATATTGCATGATGCAGTACTTTGCAAATTGCAGCCTGCATGTATATTGGGGGAAGAAATTATTGGTTGGCGAAAGCAGGAACCTTGCTTTCATTAGCAGTAAGTTGAAGAAGGCTAAAAAAAATTAGCAATATAATATATTTTATTTTCTATTTAAAACCTTTTATTTACTACAGTGAAGGCTCATGTAATGAAGAGTATTATATGATATTCGATTACTTTGCTGCTAAAAAAAAAGGCATGTACAGTACAGTACAGTACTTTAATTCTGCATTATCTCTATGTATATTTTCTATTTATTTTGTCTGTGCTATATTACAGAATATACTCATCACATAATGTTGTCTAGTCATTGAAAACATTTGGTATTATTTGACTTACATTGGAGCCAATTTTATTAAGACTTGAATGTATTCCTCTTCAATTTTGTTATCACAAAATGACAAAATTTGTATTTCATATACCTATCTATCTGTAACTTTGAGAGACACTTCAATATTTTGTAATATTTCCAATTATTTATGTAATATTGCTTACAAATAAAAATGTTGGGGTAAATTTCCTTATAATTTATTCCTAATTTGATGATCATTTTACCTACAGTAACATACCCAGTCAAATGCAATATACTGTATATACAGTACTTTCATTCATATTATATCATTAATCCATTTCCTTCATGGGTTCGGGTGGTATCAGACCAGAGAAAAATAAAACCTCTAATATGTAAAGTCTTTCAGGCAAAACTTTAGAATAATTCAGTTTAAATTGTTTATAGATATAATGGGGGTAAATTGCTGTTGTAAATTAGAAGTTAATTAACACATGAAATGTTCAAGAAATTTAGTAATGATAAACAATATAAATGATATTTAATAAAATATTGTTTAATAGCTTTAGGTATACATAGCTATGTGCTGCTACTTTATTATCTGTGATGGATTACAAAGTGTCGATTAAAAGGTTCATCTAATATGAACTATAAGTTTATCTAATATCCCTATTTCACAGGATGGTTAGTCATATATGGACCCATCAGAAGAGAACATAGATTGCGAGGCAGATCTACTAGCCTGCACTAGTAGTTGGCCTCCCAATGTATGAGTTTGCCCTGTACACCAGCTGACTGAAAGTTGGGAGGCGGGACCAAAGAGCTGAAGCTCAACCCGTGCCAGCACAACCAGGTGAGTATATTTAGAGCATTGAGTGAGTACATTAGGGTGCTGGTGGCAGAGTTGACAGCATGCTAGACACGTAATCCTGTGGACCGAGGATCGATTCCCGGCGCAGGTGTGAAACAAAATTGAAGTTTCTTTCAGCCTGATGCCCTGTTACCTAGCAGTAAATAGGTACCTGGGAGGTAGTCAGCTGTCACGGGCTGCTTTCTGGGTATGTGTGTGGAAAAAAATAGTAGTAACATTTGGGACCAAAGAGCTGAAGCTCAACCCGTGCCAACACAAGCAGGTGAGTACATTTACCGGCCGAGCGAACAGCATGCTGGACACGTGATCCTGTGGTCCCGGGTTCGATCCCGGGTGCCGGCGAGAAACAATGGCCAGAGTTTCTTTCACCCTAATGCTCCTGTTACCTAGCAGTAAATAGGTACCTGGGAGGTAGTCAGCGGTCACGGGCTGCTTCCTGGGTATGTGTGTAGGAAAAACATTAGTAGTGAGTAACATTTGGGAGGCGGAACCAAAGAGCTGGAGCTCAACCCTAGTAGGTGAGTACATTTAGTAGAGCGTGCGGGAGGGTCGCTGCCAGCAACACGTGGACCAAATTACCAGCCAATCAGCGAGCAGAGGCGCGAGGGTGTGGCACTCTGGAGTAAACAACGCTCAACACTACATATACAAACTGCTCATTAGTCATTACTGCAGTTGTCTTATGAGTTCCTTCAAACTACACAACTTTAATTATTTATGAACCTAATGATGAAGATAAGAAATAATTTAAAACTATTCAAATTTCATTCATTTTTATCTACTGTTATAAGAGAGTTAACGAAAAACAGAAAAAATTTCCATCTTCATCTGTTGAAATGTGTAGTTTTTTTGCTATTAAATACATACAGTGTGTATTTACATGTTAAAAACGTCGAAATAAGTTTTACTATGAATATGGGAGTGTACAAAATTTATATATACATATGTATATGTATTTCTGTGTATATAGACAAGCATTTGAATTTAGCACGTGGTGGCGCCAGTTGTATGGAGTAGGACACCATGACCATATTACCAAGACGAGCACCATTCCCTGTACATGGCAGTACAATAGACTAGCCCTTCTGTTCTTATAATTATTATAAACAAGCTTAGGTATATATACATAGCAGCTATATAGGGCATGTACTGCCATCCTATTTTCTTTACACGGATACAGAAGATGACTTCTGACTTATTGGCAAGCATTAGAGTTTTCCCATCCCATATAATTCGCGTTCTGTTAAACCTTTCCAGCTGAAGTTTTCCTACGAATACAACCCACCGGGCTCACCTACAACAGGTTTACAACCAAATACACCAGCTCAAGCCGCAAATATACGTCACATTTTTACTATACAGATGAAAATTCATCTGGAAGAAAAGGCTGGGGAATAATGGGTGCACCTTTAACAAACTTCTAGCTTACTATTCCCCGCAATCCAATCAACTTAATTTCTATGTTCTCTCTTAACCCCTTCAAAGGTACCTTCTTGTATATAAATAAATAAATAGTTTAGTGTAATTCATTTATTATACACCCCATACCCATCTTGTGGGCGGTAGTGGAAAGGGTTACAGAAGCACATAATGGGCTCAGGGACTGAACCCCACAGTTCATTTAGCTAAACAAGTTACAATCTTGATGAACTAGTTACAAAATTCAATATAATAAATAAAGAACCTGCCCGAAATCTTAATAGATTAAGGACCTGCCCGAAACGCTGCGCGTACTAGTGGCTTTACAAGATTGTAAATACCATGCTATGTATTCTCACAAACCCAATGTACCTTCTTATATATAAATAAATAAATAAATAAATTGTATAATTGTATGGATTGCCCGAAACGCTATGCGTACTAGTGGCTTTAGGTATTGAATGTACTACCTCTTATCTTTAAATCAAACAGAATGTTTGTACTGTAACTCTGCAACTATGTATGTACTTTTCCTAAATAAATTATTATTATTTTTATTATTATTATTAATTATAATAGAGCCGGCCTCTGGTGAAGAGGGTGAGAGGCGAGGTGGTGATGGCAACAGTGGTGCAGCATCAGCTGGTCCTCCAGCTGTTGGTCCAGACCTCCTCCTCCTCTACACCTCTTTTTCCACCTCTCACTATGGCAACTACGGTAGCAAAGCGCCATGTAAGTGTGAATAATACTTGTACTGTACGATGGGGCATGTGGGAATACGTGAGAACGGTTATTTTGCTGTTAATATCCGTTAATATCTTCGTGTTATTGTGTGTCGTCTGGCAGACGACATGGCAGCTCACCACCTTGACTTCTTCATTTCGTGGACATTAAGGACTGGCAAGTGCTTCAAGACGATGATATAGCACCACGCTGGACTAAATATACATACATCATTCAATTCTTTATAATTGACACTCGTGGAATCCAATTTACCGGTCAATTGTCCAACTGGTTGACCTTGAGGCTTGACCGAGGACGGTCAAGGTCAAGCAAGAAGGATAGAGGTCACTTCCTTACACCAGACAATTGATATATTGATTTTAAAGCCAAGTTTTATTCTATACATTAAGAATGTAAGAAGCATAGTTTATATTAGCAAACAAGTTTAATTAATTAAATTAAATTATTTCATTTAATTATTTAAATTAATTTAGTATTTAATTATTTAAATTATTAAATTATTTCATTTGATTATTTAAATTATTTCATTTATTGCGCCCTTTAACTCATCTTGTGAGGCGGGGTTTAAAGGTTACAGGAGCACTTATGATGAGTTATGAAACTGAACTCCAATATTCATCTAGTTAATTAAGAGATGAGCTGTATAGTAACTATATGTAATGCCCCATGGAGATAATTAAATTGACTTGCAAGAGACCCTGATGCTTTTAATATACATACTGGTAATGCATCTTGAAAACAAATAAAATATTGCTTAAATTTGATAATGCATAAAAATAGTGATAATATATAATTATATTTTGTATGCTATACTGTACCTTAATTGTGCAGCTCACAATGGTCCTTTATTAAAATAATGCAGAGGTCTATGGATCAATATTAATAAAAATTTATTGATTGAATTCAGATCTGTATTAGATTGTGTACTGAAAATAGCAGTCTACAATATTAACTACTATACTGATTACTGTATACAGTATTAGCTGCTCTATAATTATATCACTACTGCAGTAGTAATTGTAGAGATGTGTTTTATATGCTGTCGTGCTGTTCAGATGCACTGCAGAGAAAAATGTTATGAGGGAAAATAAATAATACTTCGTCATACCACTTCATTGGCCACGTTCGTGGCCTGAAGAGGCTGTAGGGATCCCACTCCTCTTCGTTATTTCCCAGGCTGCCAGGGCACATACGATCCCTCATCATCATTGCCCTGCATTCAACACAACAAACCTAACCTATTCTCTCCTAATCCTAGTCGAACTTAACCTATTCTCTCCTAATACTAGTTAAACTAAGTCTATTCTCTCCTAATCAAATGGGTGCATTTACCCTGAAAATAAAAAGACCCTTATTGTTTAGGCCGTCCAGTAGGCCAATTGAATCTGATGTCGGCCATCATATTCATATTCAGTATACCAAATGAATATACTGTATTCTACAGTAGTTTGGTTATGCTGATTACTGAAGTTAGGAAAGTTTTGGTTTCCTATTGATGAGGATTGGGAACCTGTTAGGTCACTGATTAACTTTCTTAATGATACAGACCAGGTACTGTACCTATTTATTCTTAGATGAAGAAAAGCATTAGGTGTAAAGAAACTTTCCCAAATGTTGTGCCCTTTCTGGGAATCGAACTTGAGTTCAAATAACTAAGTTGATAGTGCTAACTAGAGTGCTACAGGTCATCTTAAAGTATACTTTCTTTTAAAATTCTATTAGATCACATTTAGAAGTATAGGTTATAAGAATTGTTTATCTACAGTTGGGTTCATTCTTGACTCAGGAATTCCGGGCTTGAATCTCAGCAGGAAAGAAATGGTTGGGTGCATTTCCTATCACCTAATGCCCTGTTTAGCTAGCAGTAAATAGGTACTTAAGAGTTAGTCGACTTGTGGGGTTACATCCTGGGAAAAGGTCAGTAGTTAGACCTTGTGGGGGGGGGGGGGAAGAAGAGGACCTCGATATAAGCCTAACATTTATATACAGTATATATACACTGGCTGCCTTTCCCCCAACACAATGAATTAATATGAATTGAAAATTTTCAAGTAAGCTTTTTTTTTAATTTGTAGTATTCAGTATGGTAATAAAACGATTGTTGCATTGAGCTGGCAGTCTGAAAGTCTGAAAGTTAAGTGTGCATTTGGGGCAGTATTGATTTCTAATTTTATACAAGTATTTGTAGTACTATATAACTGTCCCTAAAGCTTTTTGTAAAAACCCAACTGGCTCACGATACAGTCTCGGTAGTACAGTTGGGTTTCTACTTGACTTGCAATCAGGAATCTTGGATTTGAATCCCAGGTGGGATAGAGATGGTTGGGTATGTTTCATTTCACCTAATACTTCGGTTCACCTAACAGTAAATAGGTACCTGTGAGTTAGGCAACTGTTATGAGATTATACCCTGGGGAAGGTCAGTAGTTCGACCTGGGGGTGAAGGGGAAGGGGGGACCTCAATACAAGCCTAAAGTAATTACCTAAGTGTAGTTACAGGATGAGAGCTACGCTCGTGGTGTCTCGACTTCCCAGCACTGTCATATAACGCTTTGAAATTACTGACGGTTTTGGCCTCCACCACCTTCTCGCCTAATTTGTTCCAACTGTCTACCACTCTGTTTGCAAAAGTGAATTTTCTTATATTTCTGTGTGTGTATAAAATATACACAAACTGCCTGTCTGAAAAAAATAAAATTATTATTATTATTATTATTATTACACAATTGGATAAGAGAAATAAACCTTCAAGTCACATTCAGTAAGCTATATGAGTGACTCCAGCCTCTGTATATAATTGGGTTGACTTGTAAAACATCATTCTAGCTCTTGCTATGTGAGAGCAACATTAGAAAAACATTAAATGCAAGTTATACAATTTATGTCATAATAAAGTACATCAAAAATATTCCTCAAGTCACTTTCAATTAAATTAAAATGGAGATGGAGGGAAAAGCAACTATTGTGCCGCCTTAAATATTTGAATGAGTGTTGAATGTAATACACCAATTTGTTGTCAGGTAGCAAAAGTCTGTTGCTTTAATAATGTCTTTCACAAATATTAACTGCTATTGCTCTGAATAGGTACTGGGATAGATTCCACTTGCCTGTATTCAGAACAAGCTTTGTCTAATTTGCATAGGTTGTATCAATAATCTATCAAACTTATCAATAGAGCTGTTCTATAAGTAATAATAGATCGCACCAATTTTTTTCACAGCCAATCTAACAATCAATTGATTATCTTGACCTAGACAGCATTGCTAAGCAAGGTTTTCAATGCTATTTTTATATTAAAAATAGTCTTAAATTTTGTATGATTAGAGGGGGGGAAACATGGAACAGAGAATAAGGCTTTGTGAATGATCTGATTAAACCAGTTGCCATCTTGTACTACAACAAACCCAAACTTGTACAGTTTATCTCTATAGTGTTTTATTCCTGTGTAGAGTGGACATAGATTAGCTGTTTTAATAATGTAGCTAGATTTACAGCCTCAGAATGTAATTCAAGGCCAAAGTATAAGACCTGGTAGTGTGCAATGTCATCATTTAAAACAGGATTACCACAATACACAGGCTTGAATAAATAGTTTTGTAAATACAAGCTCTAATTTCCATGCTTTAGATCTGTTGCAATCCTTCGTGGTCTGACACTGTCATATGTATACAGTGTGTATATATATATATATATATATATATATATATATATATATATATATATATATATATATATATATATATATATACACTATATATATATATATATATATATATATACACTATATATATATATATATATATATATACACTATATATATATATATATATACACACTATATATATATATATATATATACACTATATATATATATATATATATACACTATATATTATGAGTGTCAGACCACGAAGGAAGAATTGAAACAGGAATTTCCTTAAGTACTTTCGTATTTAATAATACATCTTCATCCTTCTGAAGATGTATTAATAAATATGAAAGTACTTAAGGAAATTCTTATTTCAATTCTTCCTTCATGGTATGACACTCGCATTTTTCATCAGGTTAATTTTCGTGATTAACGCATATAATATAATAATATATGTAAATATATATAATATGTATCCAGGGTGTATCCAAAATAAGATCACTTTTTCCATATGAAGAACAGTCTAATTAATGTTGCCTTCAATAGGTTTGGATCATCAAGATGTTCCAGTCCGATCCATTTGCACACTAACCCCAAGTTTCTAGTAGCCACTTCGATACCCACTGCACTGTGTTAATGTTACGTTTAAATAGACACGTTACATACATTATTAAAGTATTACGTGTAAGTACACACACACATTACAAGCATTATTAAGTTGTTAGCCTGGTGCAATACCGTTTTCCGATTTAAAGAAAATGATTAAACTCTTGGCTGTTATAAATTTGGTCATCAACACTGGGAATCTAGTACTATATTTAGATACCAACGCCATGATAGATCGCGTGCGAATGGTGATTACAGAGTTAACATGAACAATTACTTTATAACACAAAACCATATACGCTGGGATAGTCACGTGGGTTTGAAGGTTCACGATGCTCAAACGGCCTTTTGAATATTTAGGTAGGCCTACATCTTAATAGTGAATAATATCGGCAAACGTCTTGGCCAATTCTTGAGGGATGTGCGCGTCCACGTCGCCAGATCTCTTGCTACTGGCTGACGCCGCTGCTGGTGCCAGAAAAGATGAAAAGCCGGCTGGCTTCAAGGGCTGGGAGGGGGGATGAAGGGGAAGCAGATATTCTGGGTACAGTTCACTCTACCCGCTGGTGACTTACTGTATAGGTTTGAAATATGTAGCAGTAAATAACCAAGTAATGTTCATATTTTGTCAAATTTATATATCACGATGAAGCCTAGGTTTGATCAACATTTTTTCGCCTTATTTTAAAAATATGTACCAATTATTAGTCTTTCTTAATTTATTACTTTTATT